TGCCAACATAATTTTAAACTGATTGGATGTATAAGATGCAGCCCTGGAAGTTTCTTATTGGTAGGTGCTATTCTAAGGGCTGTGGAATGTGCTGACTGTTACCTGTAGGGCCAGGAGTCTCCGTTTTTACCTTATAGGGCAGTTTTTATGCTCATGCTTGCTTAATCTATAGTTTCCTGGAAAGGGGGTGGGGAATAGCAGGTGGGGGTCAGGGCTGCCAGGGTATGTCTAGGCATGTCTAAAGCAGCAGCCAAGCATTTTACAGAAGCTAAAAGAGCAATTAGTGGGGGTCTGGAGGGATTGGGGGGTAGTGGGTGAATGAAGAGGGTCTCAGGGTCCTACATTACAATAATATTTTCCAGTCTGTAGTCTTAGTTTTTTTCTTATCATCATGTAATTTTTTCCATAGTAAGATCTGCCAATAATTTTGAATTTTAAGAGAACTTTATTTGTACAATTGTATATATTTATGGATATAAAACATGTATGTTTTAATAAATATATACATTATGTAGTGATTTTGAATATAATAATATGTTTATTAAGGATGGCAGAGATTTGATATAGTTCTTCAAGTTGCAAATTCTCTTGTAATATGGGATTTTTTTTTTTTTTTTTTGGTCTTTTGAGACAGGGTCTCTCTGTAGCCCCAGTTGACCTAGAACTCACTAAGTAGACCAGGCTGGACTTGAACTCACAGAGATCTGCCTGCTTTTGCCTCCTGAGTGCTGGGATTAAAGGCGTGCACCATCATACCCCGCATAACATGGGATTTTTATAATGTGCTAGGTTATCACATAATTTTTGGGTTTCTTGATATTTTATTCTATTGCTGTGTTCTAAGACTGGTCCTATACGCTGTGCTTTAATTATTGTCAACCTACTATAAAGTTTGAAAATATATTTGGCCAAGTTCTTCAGTTTTTGTACTTTCCTTTGCTAAAAAAGCATTTTGGCCATGCTTGTTATTCTAAGATAAAATTTAGAGCTGTTTTGAAGTTCCATACTTTCTATTTTGACGTTCTTGGCCAGAACTCTTGAATATCTTTTAAAAAGCTTTAACTTTCAGGATCATTTGCATTTCTGAGTGAGAATCACTCTGCTGAATTTTCTGTTTCAGAGGTTTGTAGGTTCTTTTTCCTTGTAGGGAACTGAAGGTTTCATCTGTTTGGATCCAGCTCCTTAAGAGTGTGTCATATTCAGTCATGCACGAGGGACTCACATGTCTAATTAAAAACAAGCACAACTGTACACACTTATGTGGGAAAATATTTGCCAGCAATCTTCCCTCCTTTCTTACCTGAATAGATTTGAGTGCTCCGCTAAAGAAATTTAGATTTTGCCATCCATGGCCATTAGGGGGCACAAGAGTGCTGTTTATAGTCACCCACCTGAGCCAAGTGCATGCTTGGGCATCATAGAATAATATTACAAAGCAGTAATGTAACAATGAGTACTGAGCAGGCACACACCTTTATAATTGGTGGGGACAGTTACACTTTAGCTCATTCTTTTTTATTCCAGCTAACATGTTTGTGTAGGGCTTATTGTAAACAATCTCTTTCACTTTTGCTTTTCTTTCCCCTTTCCTTCCTTCCCTTTCCCTTTGTCTCCCTTTCTCTTCCTTCTCACTGTATACCCAGGCTGGCTCAAATTCTTGATTTTGTACCCTCCTGTGTACTGGGATTAAGTCAGTGCCTCTATGCCTGGCAAAGATACAGTTCTTAAACTTTTCTAAAGTACAGAGATTTTACAGATGATTGTAGACAAAATCCCTTATTTTACAGATGAGGAAACTGATTTTTTTTGAATTTTTTGTATGTCATAGAGAACATTTTAACCAATCTTAATCATCTTTATACCCCCTTACCCACTGGCCCCCTCCCATAGCCCCCTACACCACTGAAATTCATACACTCTGTCATTTGTGTTAAGGCCTATCGTGTTAAGTTAGTGTCCCCAGATGCCCCTCAGTGCAACTTCATCCATTGGAGACTAGGCAGCCTATCTAGATTCCCTCCCTTTAAGATGATAAGCTCTTCCTCATCCAGCAGTAATCGGCTGCCAATAATTTTTTGACTCAGATTGGGGCCCGTCGCCTACTTCCAGCGTTGTGTCCTGGGGTTTCGTGGAAGCTGATGTTTGTAGCTTGCTTTCAGGAAGCATCAGCAAAATGATTGTTCAGTATCTTTTGATCCCAGTCTAGATCTCCTCTCTCACTTTATTTGCATCTTCTCCCAACAGGAACCCACTTTTTTGGAACTGCAATGATTAAATTTAACATGTACTTTGGAGAATATTTTGATTAGCGAAAGTGGTCCTTGCTTGTGAGATTGACTGTGAGAAACTGTAAGTAGACCTTGGGAGATGAGGTGAACCTGTAGGTTTCTCACTGGCAGATACTTTCTCTCTGTGCATCCAGTCTTGATTTTTGTTTTTAAAATAATTTTGTGCTACTATCTCTTTTAAAAAACAGTTAATAGTCTTATTATTGACTATTTCTTCTTAGATAATTTACTGTTGCTAAATGATCAACAGCTAGGAATCAAGGAGAACATGAGGGACATATCTTGGGAAAAAAATCCTTAAATTGTTTAATTAACTCCACAAAACAAGGAGACAGTTTACATGCCTTGTCTGTGAGATAATGAGAAACTGAAGTCAACTGGAAAATGTACAAGATAGATAAAATCTTTGAAATAGCCCTTTATAAATAGGTATATAAATTTATGTCACTTTGTGCCTCAAGGTACTCACAGGTGAATCGATTTTGCAGTATTTGCTCACTCATCACCTTTGTTTAGATAGTGTGCGCACACGTGCATTACACACACACACACACATACACACATATGAACATTTTGAAGCACTTTCTCAAAGAAGGATTGCAACCTGTCATATCCAATGTCAACTCATTTCCATATCCCAAGTCTTGCTAATACAGACAAATAGGTGTATGTTCACATATAGTAAACTCCTAAGTAGGTAGCTAAAGTACAGCTTCTTTCTTTTCAGGGTGTCCCTAGCTCCAGTCTGCCTGGAACTCACTATGTAGAACAGGCTGACCTGGATCTCACAAAGATCTACCTGCTTCTGCCTTCCAAGTGTTGAGATTAAGGCATGCTCCACCATGCCCAGGGTAAGCACAGATTTTAAAAGGCAACTGATGATTCCTGGGAGGGGAAGATTCAATTTTGTTTAAGGGTGAGACTTTTAGTAGGTTGGCCAAGCTTCGGCTGATAAACCTACACTCAAGGGCATTTGGGGACACAAACCTGACATTATTGGCCTTTGTATGTATCATATATATCAAATATATATGAATGCAGCAATTTGGGAGGTTAGAAAGGGGGCGCAGATATGGAAGGGGATCTAAATATCAAAATATATACAGTTTACAAAAATTCAATAAATTAAAAACCGAAAACAATTTGTGATTTCCCTCGCCCCGTTGCCTCTTGAGCATCCTAGTTCCTCCAATTTCCTGTCGTTAGAACAAAAGTTGGGGGCAGAACTGTGAGACACAGAGTTCTTTGGTTGCTTAATTTACTATTAAATAAAAGGTGGTGTTTGGACTATGAGATGTTTGGTGGATAAGAGCTTTTGTTACATAAGCATGAGGACCTGAGTCTGAATCCTAAGTACCAGTGTAAAAAGTCAAGCAGAGCTGCATATGCCTGAAATGCCAGCACTGGGAGGCAGAGACAGGCAGATCCTGAGTGCTTATTGGTCAGCCAGCCTAGCCAAAATGGCGAGCTTCCTGTTGAGTGAGAGTCCCTGTATTAAAAGATAAGGTAGTGAGCAATGGAGGAAGACACCCAATGTCCTCCTAGTGCTGCTGCATGGTACACCCACCAGCACCCCTACCTGCATGCAGCATGCGCCCCCCCCCAAAGTGATCTCTGTTTAAAATTCTTTCCCAGGGTGCAGTTGTTCCATTATTATGTTTTGAATGGATAAATCAGTGAAATAAACAAACACAAACCCCTAACCACCTATAATTGTCTCATACACAGATAATGACCAGAACAGGCTGGTATAAATGACACCATAATGTTATGCTGTCTTCTTCCTTCACCTGGCTATGTATTATGAACTTATGAATTTTAGTAACCTTAAAATATTCTATCATGACAGGTGTGGTGGCACACGGCTTTAATCCCAGCACTTGGGAGGCAGAGGCAGGTGGATCTTCTTTGAGTTTAAAGCCAGCCTGGTCTACATAGTGAGTTCCAAGCCAGCCCCATTACAGAGAGACCCTGTCTGAAAAAGACCAAAAAAAAAAAAAAAAATTCTGTCATATGGATAAAGCAGGATTTATCTGTCCATCACTGTATTGGTGGACATGCAAATAGCTCCTGTTTTTAATGTTGATCATTTCATGTACACACACACACACACACACACACACACACACACACACACCCCAGTATATAGGTTTATTGTAGGTGAATTAAAAACAACTACTTGGTATAAGAAGCGCAGGAAGGGCCAGAGAAATGGCTTGGTGGCTGAGAGCACTTGGCTGTTCCTACAGAGGACCCAGGTTCAGTTGCCAGCACTGAACAACCTGTAACTCCAGTTCCAGTGCATCTAGTGCCCTCTTCTGGCCTCCTGTGGCACTGCATGCATGTGGTGCACTTGCAGGCAAAATAGTCACAGGCATAAAATAAAAATAAAAAAAAAAGAAACACAAGTAGGGGTTTAAAAATAGTTCACCTGTGCAAGTATGGAGAGTGCTGTTTAATCCTGAAGCATTCCTGGTCTTTCCTCCCTCCTCTTCCTGGGTTTAAATGGTGACTGACAGTTTGCATTGAGAAGCTAGAAATTTCATTTTCATAAGTCACAGACAGTGGGCATTCAGGAACTTTATATCATTTATTCAACCCAGCATATTTCTGTATTTTCATCAGGAATAGAGTAACATTGTAAATATCCACTTTTTGGGCAGATATTTGAAATCAAGTGACAAAATGAATCCTTTGGACCCATTCAGTGATGGTGAGCTCACCTCCTTCTCAGTATTGGGTGAAATTGGCTGTGATGTGCTCATGATCGAAGGGAATATAATAAGAAACCCCTGGGGAGAAGCAGAGAATACAATGACATATCATACAAACCTCCCATTAGACTGCTTAGAGGGGTAAGGTCACTCTAGAGAAAAACGAGCGGTTTTATTATTCTTGACAAAATTTGGAATTAGGATACTTAAGGATTTCTTTTTTTAATTTATTACTTTTTTATTTTCTGTGTATGAGTGTAGTGCCTGCATGTATGGGAATGCACTGTGTCATACAATGCCATAGAGGCCAGAAGAGGGCATTGGCTTCCCTGGAACTGGAATTACTGACAGTTGTTAGCTGCCACGTGGGTGCCGGGAACAGAACCCAGGTCCTCTGTAAGAGCAGTCATGTGTTCTTAACTGCTGAGCCATCTCTCCAACCCCTGTAAAAATAAATCTTAAAAAATATTTTATTATTTTTATTTTACATGCATGAGTGTATTGCCTGCATGTATGTGCACCCATGTTGTACAGTGCCCATGGAGGTCAGAAGAGGTCATAGGATCCCCTGGAACTGGAGTTACAGATGGTTATTAGCCATGATGTGGGTGCTGGGAACAGAACCTGGGTCCTCTGTAAGAGCAGTCAGTGCTCTTGATCACTGACCCTTAAGGAGTTCTTTAAATATTTTTTATCATTTATTTGCATGTATGTGTGTTTTGTGGTCAGAAGACAGCTTGGTTCTCTCTTTCCACAATGCGGGTTCCGGGGATTGAACTCAGGTTGTCTGTCGGACTTGGTGGCAAGCATCTTTACCTGCTGTGCCATGTTCCCCAACCTCATTTAGGGATTTCTTATTTCCAGTCTTTAGGTCACCGTCTTGTGGAAAATGCCTTTGGGCACAGCTCCTTAAGATGTACAAGCCTATTTCTCTTGTGTAGAAAGTTTTGTTACAATTTTCCTCTGAAATGTTATTTTCAGTCTTTGAAGAAGTACCTGACATAGCAGTCATGCAATAAATGGTGATTGTCAGTAAGTGGCTTGAATTAAAGCATTTGAAGGAGTATCTCATATTTTTGAAGATTTTTATAGGAAATAAGGAAAGACAGAATCTTTTGAGACAAGAAAATTAGATGATGTCAATATCTTTATCTTTTAGGTAGTTCAGGAGACAGGAAGCATGACAGTTTCATGCCCAAATATTTTGGAATCTGAGGTCTTTCCTTTAACCATCCATGTCCCAGAGAAGGGAACTAATTTTCAGACATGAGGAAGAAGCCCCATTTAAGTTCCCAAGGTAATTTCTTGAGATGAAGTTGGTAGGAGAAAAGATAATGATGATGATGATAATAAGCATTTTCAAACACATGGCGCATAAAGGGCATTGTACTTCATAATCTAAACACATTTTTCTAATCCTCACCATAACCCAAGAAATGTTATTTCCATTTTACAGCTATGGACACTGTGGCTCACTGAAGATTCCTTATTGTATAGTGCAGCTTGTGAACAGGACATGGGCTTTCCTCTAGGCCTGTGTGACTGCAGGGCCTTTATTGTCTGCAACCCCACAAATTCCAGTGGGCTAGGTTTGATTAACTATGTCATCGGTGATAAGCAAAGCATCTCTCCCAATGTAAGAGTGCACAATGGAATGCTTTTATCAAGACACAGTCTTGGCAATCTGTATTCACAGTCCTCTGTATAGTGAGAGTGTCAGGGCTAACACCACCCTCAGACAAAACCAAACCTCAGTGCTCTTTAAGTTGGAAGATGTTTTAGTATTTGTGCAAGCTTTAAGAAATATTAAAGTTTTGCTGGAGTTTTTTTTTTTTGTTGTTGTTGTTTGTTTTTCTTACCACTTTCCCCACATAAACGTGGAGTCACAAATACTCCTTTCATTTAAAAAAGCCAGGATTGGAGAGATGGCTTCGTGGTTTAAAGCATTTACTGCTCCCATAGACAGCAATTGTTTGCTTGTTTTGAGACAGGGTCTCGCTGTAGCCACAGCTGGCCTGGAACTCAGTGTGTAGCCCATGGCTGGCCTTGATCTCATAGAGATCTGCCTCTGCCTCCTGAGTGCTGGAATTAAAGGCATGTCACACCACGCCAGACTTTCAGCAGTTGTCTACCTAGGATCTGACAGCCTCTTCTGGCCTCCATGGGCACCCCCACCCCCCATACACATAAAAAATAAAAATCTTAAAAGGAAAAGAAGGCAAGGAATGAATTTTGTGTGAAATCATGGTAGAAAGTACACTCATCCCAGAGCTCAGAAACTTGGACTTGATTGCCTGCTCACTCAATTTTAGGCACATGCTTCTTACAGGTCCCTCGTATGTTTCCCAGTAGTTACCTTCCTAGTAAAACGCCACCAATAATTGCAGAGTAATGACTATATATGACCTGTGATTCCCTTATAGACTGTTATTATAAATGTGTAGAGCCTCACATTTATTAGGTACAATAAGAAATTTAAAAAATTAATGGATGTAGCCTTTAAACTGTGGCAGAAAAGCCTGTTCCTTTTCTTCTCTTACCTTCATTTAAAGGTGTTTTGTTGCTAAGGAACTCCCACCATGTTTTGTGATTAGCATTTTCAGCGATGTTATTGATAGAAGTGACCATAAGGCCCCAAGATGTCATTGTGGTTTCAAATCTAAGAATAAAATGGTAAATAACATGTCAATTGAAGTCAGACATTAAAGGGACAAGATGAAGGGACAGATATTCAAGTGCTTTAGAGAGCAAAAAAAAAAAATGTTCAAGAGAGAAATTACAAATGACTAATGAATTAGAATTAAGCCACTTTAAATACTTAAAATTTAAAAAATAATTTTATTTTCACTTGAATGGGTTGATAGGCATTTCTATATTTGTTTAGAAACCAGTGTTTCATGAATATGCTATTTGTAACAAAAATGTTTGTCCATGTGTGTTTGCGAGATTACATGGACTTATTTCCATTTGGTATGGTGAAGACTGTAGACTAGTGAGTACCTCCACATTTGAACAAGAAAATGTTATATTGCCCACATCTCCATGTATCTTCAGGTTCAGTCTGAGCCTCTAAGGTTTCCTTACATGGACTATTGCATGGGAATAAGAGAATAGCCATCAGAGGACAGTGTGCTCTCTCACTGACAGGCTCCAGTGATGTCTGTATCCCTAGGATATTCCTTATGTTTCTGTTTTGGACACCCCAGATCAAAAAAATCAGAGGAATTAGATCTCTTTCTATGAAAGGTGTTCTGTGTACTCCACCAGTTTTGAAGCAGCGTTCTCTTGACGCTTCATCCAGCCACTCTGGAGTCTTCCTTGATGGGGCCCATCCACCCTAGATGAAGTCCTTGCCACTCCATAGCTTCGGCATTGTGGCCATCTCTTCTCTCTCTCCTTGACTTCTGTTCTCACAACCCAAGTATCATTTTTTTTTTTTGTCTTTTTGAAGCAGGGTCTCCCTGTAGCCCCAGCTGTCCTGGAACTCACTATGTAGACCAGGCTGGTCTTGAACTCACAGAGATCCGCCTGCCTCTGCCTTCTAAGTGCTGGGACTACAGGTGTGTGCCACCACGCCCACTCCAAGTATTTTTTTAAAAAATATTTTATTATTTTATGTGTACGAGTGTATTGCCTGCATGTACATGAGTGCACCTGTGTTGTGCAGTGCCACAGAGGTCAGAACAGGGCTTTGGATTCCCCTGGAACTGGAGTTAAGGATGGTTCGTAGCCACCATGTGGGTGCTGGGAATTGAACCCCAGGTCTTCTGCAAGGGCAGTCAGTGTTCTTAACCACTGAGCCATCTCTCCAGCACCCCCCCCAAGTATCATTTTTTAGAATGAATTTCCTCACTCATAAATTCATAGCGCATCCCTGCATTGTGAAAGCTAATCTCTTTCACCTGGGATTCCAGACTTTTTATGGTATTATCCGACCTTCCCTTTGAGACATCATTTAATTCAGCCCTGTATTCTCTTTTCTAGTGCGTCTGGTGTGCTCACTGGTCCCAAACTGCTCCTATGTGAATGCTTTGTCATACACATTTCTTCTTCCTAGAATGCCACACATTTTCACATTTTCCCAAATTATCCCTATTCTGTGGGGCCAAAGCCAGGCACCCTTCTTTTACTCTTCTAGTACACAGTGAATGCTCATTCCTTTGAACTTCTCATATTAGAACTCTGTCATATATTGACTTGTATGAAGCCATTTCTACTCATTAGATTATAAACTCCTCAAGAGAGGAGAGGAGAGGAGAGGAGAGGAGAGGAGAGGAGAGGAGAGAGAAAAAAAAGAGAGAGAGAGAGAGAGAGAGAGAGAGAGAGAGAGAGAGAGAAAGAGAGAGAATATGAATTTGAGCATTTGAATTAGGCCTGGAAGGAACGACATCACTTGTAGTACTCACTTGAACATGGAGTTTTTGCGCTGCGCTTCTTCCAGGATGACAAGTAGCACGGAACCTCTTTTCACACTAACCTCAATAGTCACATTGAAGAGCAGATCAACACCTCTCAGCTGGTTGTTTATGGTGTATGTGACAGTGATGTCATTTGATGCGGTGGGGACAGTGGTAGGATAATCAATTAGTGTTGGTTGCACGTCATGATCTATGAAGAACAATGAGGCCAAGTTTATCAAAGATTATGGGGTTTGTATTATGGGTGCAAAATCAATGGCAACTTATCCCAGAAAACCTTTCAAACAAGTAGTAAATTTACACCATTTAACAAAATACTTGGACAACTACTATAGAATCCTGGCAAAGATTCCATGTTGAAGTTGGGAAATCATTGGGAAGCAGCTTAGGGAGTGAGGTTGACGTGGTGATGCTGTGATTAGAACGAGTTTGCTTGACTTTGGTTCCTCTAAATTCTGCACTGACTTGAACAAGGAACTCACACTTTCTTCCTGTCGTACAATATCAATGTGATGCAGGAGAATGTGAATACTTTATATTAGTATTTGATTAGAATAAAATATTGGAAGAATTGATTCTAAAGACTGTTTTTGGAGTGATAAAAGGGCTAGGAAGGCTCTCTGCCCTCAAAGCAAATATTTCAACAATGTGAATTTTAAGTATTTCTCTATTATATTTGATTGGATACAAAAATATTAAAAAATAGCATGCCAGATTTTTTTTTCTGTCTTTTTGGTCTTTTTTGAGACAGGGTCTCCCTGTAGCCCCAGCTGTCCTGGAACTCACTATGTAGACCAGGCTGGCCTTGAACTCTCAGAGATCTGCCTGCCTCTGCCTCCTGAGCGCTGGGATTAAAGTTGTGCACCACAGTAGATGTGAAAAACATTACCATTGAAATCTACCTGATGACTTTATATCCATGCTCAGATGCCAAGGAGCTCAGAAAGTAACTCAGAAAGTGCCTTCCTAGCACTTTTCTGACTAGTAAGAATCAGATAGAGATTAGAAATGCATGTGCAAACATCTTAATGTCAATTACATTAAAAATGAATTTTTCTGTATGAAACTGTGTATTTTAATAATGAAATGGATATTGTTTTTAAAGGTTAAAACCTCATTTAATTTTATGTCTTATAGGGTTTATATTGAGTACAGTATTGTATAACTGTAATAATTCAAATGTAAACCTAAACATTTATAGCCAACTTTGAAAGAGATGCATCTTAGCTCAGGAAAATGTTATTGAATATGTCAATGCTGTTGTAATGAAATGCTTCTTCTAAGTATGTGGTTATTAAATAAATAATTAAGAAAAATAGCATGCCAGATTTCCATCCTACCCCTCTAGAGTTCTTTGAGTGTTAAGCTGTCATAATTAGATCTTTAAGTCTTGGTTGAAATATCATTTGTGTGTGTTGTTTTAAGCCCGCCACATAAAATCAACAATTGGTCATTACTTTTTTTTTTGCTTTTGTTATTGTAAAAATTGTAGTTTTGTGTGTATGTCTGTCTCCTGACTTTGTAAAGAGCAGATAAGACATCCATAATGTTTAGTGGTACATTTGCCAAATGAATGAATGAATGAAGCTCTTTGACTGTTGTGACCTGCCTCAAGAGAGGAGAGGAGAGGTGTTCAGGGTGATGAATCAAGTGGCTCGAGTCTGAATTCTGAAGGCTGGATACTTTGGCAGTGTGCAAGCACACACTCTTGGAGAGTGGAAATCAGGTGTGGCTCTACCTGTGTGGGATAAACGAACAAACTTGTATACCACTTAACACCAACCCACATGCAGTCCCTAGTTGCTGCTTTATGACATAAGAAGAGGAAACTGTTGAAAAGTTCTTACCAGGGCCACAAGTCACTTGGGGCACATCTAGGTATGTCTTGCCTTTCAAGGAAGGGAGAATTTGGGCAATGGACATGGGGTTTTGGAATTTCCCCTCTTTAATCTCATCGAGTATTGTAGCCATGGTCTTCTCACAGTCCCATTTGTTGGTAGGTTGCTCAGGTGTCACAGAGAGAGCCTGGGGTGGAAGGGGTAGGCATGGGCAAGGGGAGAGAAAGGGAGGAAAGATTAGGTATAACTGGGTGTTGGCTCTATGAGGGATAGACTTGATCACTAATCCTTATGGTCATCCAGACTGAAGCAGTAGAAGGTTTGGAACTACTTTTGTCTTTCTCAATGCACATTTCTACTTCTTACCACACATGGAACTGGAGCCCAATGGTAGGGCCCCTGCCTAGCATGCATGAGGCTGTGGGTTTAATCCCAGCACAACAGTAATAGACAAACGATAATTTAAAGAAAAATAGCCACAGAACAACTATGTATCCAGTGATCAGATCCAGGGAATGCTGGTAGGGCTGCTGTTTGGATGTGGAGTGGGGGTGATTTGCAAGGAAGGCTGTAGAAGGAGCTTTAGTTTGGGGCAACCTGGTCTGGCAGTGTGGTGGCTGCATTTGATCTATGTTGCTGTGCCTACCCTTTGGTAGGCTTTTCTTAGATCTTGTGACTGTGTCAGGACTTGTCAGTCAGAGGCTCCATAATCCTGGCTTTGGAGTAGAGTCATGGCCTGGGTTACTCTGATCTCCTGCCACCTTCTTGGGGACAGTGACTGTTGGATGCATGCATAACCAGTCCATATATATATATATATATATGGAGAGAGAGAGAGATATATTTCTTTATCCTCCTGGGGTTATTCATCTGGGAACATATTAGTAAACACTGAGCTGCCATTGACCATCTTCCTCATACACTTCAAAAACACCATGCAGCAGCAGGAGAGAGTGAGGAAAACCGGGGTTGGGAGACAAAAGAGTGGTCCCTGATGTCACAATTTGATATCTTTATTCTGATTATTCCTAAAACCATTTCATCTAGCCTTGGACTTCCCCAGGTATGTGAAATAGTAAATTCTATGTAAATGATTTGGGCTTCTGCTAGTTGGAAAATCAATCTTGTTTACTATGTCAGGCAATTCACCTATTCTTGTCAAGTTTTAGATTTCATGGGTAAACTAGAAAGTGTAAGTCCTGCCTGCCTTTAGAGGGGGTATCCTTTGAGGTTCCAGTGGGCCAAATATGTACAAGCATTTTGCAAGGAATGATGTGGAAACTATCATTGTAGATTCCCTTACTTTACAGTTATGTTAACTAGAGCCATCAGGTGTGCTAATTATCTTAGATCACTAATGATCAGTTTTCTTGAAGCTGGGAAGAGAAAATGGGAGATGGTAGAGGAGTCAGAAATAGCTCTCTGAGCTAGGAAGAGCAGTATGAATATCGGATAGTTGTGACAGGTATTGTCGCCCTGTTAACTTTAGCAATCACAGAGCTATACTTGCCAGTGGCCACTTTCCTTCCTTCCTTCCTTCCTTCCTTCCTTCCTTCCTTCCTTCCTTGTCTCCCTGTAGCTCCAGCTGATGTGGAACTCACTTTGTAGACCAGGCTGACCTCGAACTCACAGAAATCCGCCTGCCTCTGCCTCCCAACTGCTGGGACTATAGGCATGTGCTACCATACCCGGCTTTAGAGGCCACTTTCCAAGACAGTTTGGTTTAAGAGGCATCAGGTAGATACTCGTTAGTAAGAATATCTTCCTAAGTTCCACTAAGTGATATATTTCCTCTGGGAATAAAACCTTATCTATGCCAATATGATAGGTTAATGTTATGCCATTAGAAATCATTGATAACTCTGTGTGATGAAGTTTATCAGACTCCTTGTCAACATGAATGCCTGAGGAAAGGAGTGCAGTATATGGTGATGGAGGAAAATGAGGAGTCTTGAAGCCAAAGGGCCTTTCAGGAGGGTTGAGGGTGGCTTGGGTTGTGTGAGGGACTCTGGCATTTGGGAAGAGGGTGAGCAGAGGCTGGAGAACTTTAATAGTACTACTGTTTTGCTGGTTTTGGGGAAATTCTATGAAGGGTAAGTGGGTATGGAACTTTGCCTGTGATGTTTTTGTATATCACATGTCATTTAACTTGGCCGTAGCCTTGTTATTATGGAGAAAATGAAATTTAGAGAATGTCAATATTTGTCCAAGATGGGGCCAGTTAAGGCTCATGTAATAGGAGGGAACTCATGCCTGGTGCTGTAAACCTAGACAACTACCCACAGCTGGGGAGGATATAGACCTTTGAGGAGAACCTATTAGTACCATTTTCCTCTATCAGTGTAACTTCAAATTGTATTCTAAATACCAATCTTCGTACCCACAGGTATGTGTAGCTCTCACTCATCAGAAGATGGAGGCTACTGCAGGGATCTACAGCTAGCCAAAATGCAGAGAATAAGTGACCTGGGAGTCCCCAGTCCCAATTGGTACATCTACAATGCAACCTAGGGAACATAGTGGAAGAGGGGTGGAAAGAGTGTAAGAGCCAGAGGAACAGGATGTCTGCTGTGAGATAGTGTCTTCTAGACAAGATGAGGATGTAGCACCCGTGAAATATCGATATGGTTGCCTAAAAAAGACCTGAATAACGACTATACCAGTCAGCATGGCAATGGGGGATAGGGACAAGCCCACAAGGCCCTACTTCTAGATGAAGAGCTACAGGTAGGAAATGGTGACTGAAGGAGGGAGAAACAGTTTTCTTGAGGGACAAGTCCCCTGATAGATTATCTAATCCTAAATGGTCTTTTCTAATCACATGTACACATGGGCAACACTAAATGGGCTCAAGTGGGTTTTATATATTACCTGCATATATATGAATAATAAAAATCAGAAGAACTTGAGAGGGGTGAGAGAGAGCGGGGGATGGGAGGAGTTGGAGATAAGAGAAGGAGAGGTGGAAATGAATTAAATATACTGTATAATTCTCAAAAAAGTTTCAAGGCAAAAAATAATAAAATGAAATTCTGATTCTCAACAGCAGGAAAAAAAGATGGGAGCATATTTGAGATTCAAACCCAAGTCATTCTGGGACTAGAGCCCTTTGATCTCAACCCCAGAACATTGCAGAGTAGACAAAGGTTATAGGTTAGACACCTGTTGGTTTCAGCTTTTGGGTTTTCTATGTGAACTCCAGATATGGGTGTAAGTGGATAGGTAGGGAGAAGTTATGTATCTTAACCAACAAGAAAGTACATGATCAGTGGTATCTGGATGTGGAGGAGGCCCTACTCTTTGACAGAAGTCTTTTTTATTTCCAGGTATAATTTATCAGAGTCTGCCTAGAAAATGACAAAATTCATAAGCCAGATTAACACAGTAAACAGCCGGTAACCAGTGTAAGCAAGCAAAGCGCCTGAAGCAGGGTGAAGTGAGGGACCCCTCTGCCAACCCCAGCCCTGTGCTTATTCCCTTAGGTGGCTTGTTCTCCTAAGCTAGACCTGAGCTCTGGAAATGTTCTTGTGTGATTCAGCCCTGGAAAAAATGCTTCTTTTCCATGACAGAATCTCATGACCATGACACAGATGCTGACTTTACTCTTTATCTGTCACTTCTACACATGGTGTGCTGGAATTGTGGTTTGTTTTCATTATTATGCTTATCCTTGACTACTACTTAGGCTGTCTGTACCATTCTCTGATTTTTAGTGTAGGGAGGCTTCCAATACCAGTTTTTCCTCACAGGAGTCTTTCTTTTTCATTATTCCTTTGGATATTATTCCAGAGCTACACGAGGCTTAGCATTGGATTATAATGCCGGGATCTCCCTTTCCGGGGCTTTCTGAGATGGGAAGATCATTGTGCAGTTTTTAGCAACTTTATAGCATCAATATCTCGGTATGGGTTTGAGGATTAGACCACAGATGACTTTATGATTTCTGATTGTAGTTAGCCATCCTTACCATCATGAATGTACTTGCCTTCCATGGAGGATGCCTGCCCTAGTCAACTGGGGCAGGGGGAAGGTGATGGATTTGGAGCTGTCAAGCAGCATCTGACCTAGTCCAAGCCTAGGAATATGTACTAGAGAAGTACAGAATTGAGTGTGGACTTGACTTAGATATAGATCTGGCTCTACTATACTAGGATTGTGAGTGAGTGTGTGTGTGTGTGTGTGTGTGTGTGTGTGTGTGTGTGTCAACCTCAAACTACTCATATTTATCATTTTAAATACAAGTTAAGATAAAGGGCTGAACAAAGAACAATTGCCTGGAAAGTTTGAAGTTGAAAATTCCATCAATGTTTTTTGAACACCTGCTTTCCTATCAGTACTTAAACACTGGCCTTTTGGTAGTGTACAGCTTTTGCTAGGAAACTGGCCATTATTGATAGCACATTATTGATAATGATTTGTTTCATTTTTCCCAAGGAAGGAAAATGAGTTGACATAGGTTTTTTTTTTTTTTTTTTCACAGTTTATCTAGGAGCTAGCACTTACCTGCATTTTTCCAGAGGAGAAACTGCAGCAAAGTAGCTCAGGAATGGACTCCAAGTCACATTAGCTGGACTTTCCCAGGCATGTTAGCCACATGTGAGCAGACACGAGGCCCCTTGGACTCCCTCAAGAGCCTTCAAGATTTGTTTACCTGCATGGCAAGGCCAGTGCTGTAGATGTCTCCGATTATGCCATTGGCTTGGATCCTCGAGCTGATGTTCTCCACAATAGACTTTAGTGCCTGAGCAAACAGGGCTCTGTAATTTTCATTAGAGCCCACGGGAATCCTGTTGTACATGCAGGTCAGGGCCAAGGTTGCCACTGCTCCTGTATCTGGGAATCACAGGGGAGACAGACCATCACTGTTGTCACCACCGAGCTAATGTTTGTCAGCAGCCTGTTGTGTTCTAGTTACAAGATCTCATTTAGTTCCCAGAACCACCTGTGAAATAGAACCTACAATTATTTTTGCTTAAGAGATGAGGCAGCTCAGTCAGTAAAGTAACTGCCCAAGGCTACACAGTCAGTAAGCAGCAGGCTAGAACTTAAAAATAAATTTAGACAACTCAATAGCTCTAGACTTTAAATACTGTAAATGGGTATTATGTTCAAGCCTACTTCTCTTGTTTCCGTGCTTGTCTTTGAAATGTTGTTGCTAGTTCGTGAAAGCCTGGCCATCTCCACCTTTCAGTGAAGCCACTTTGGTCTTCCCAGCACAGCAGATGGAGTCTTTTTAGCATTTGATGTTTATGCCCACTTTTTTCTGTCTCAACATTCTGTGTCCTGCTTTGTGGTTGCTAGGTGCCCTGAATGCTTGGTCAATGGGACTTCTGCATCCCCCATGGCACCCAGCAAGGGACATCTTCCTGATTTGCATGTGATAAACATGTGTGGACCAAATGAGCAAGCTCTGGGATGACAAGAGCAGAGCAAATGAAAGACTTGCCAGATAGCATCTGTTATTTCACTGCCCATTTCATCCTACCTCAGCCCACCAGAATGTCTCACAGCTTCGTTAAAAATGACAGTGCTACTGACACTCAAAGACAAGGTCCAGACTTCCCGAACTGGTAGAGATGCCCCAACAATATGTGAGGTTATGTGAGGTTCTAGATGGGAAAGAGATAGTAGTATGCTCTTCTTCACCCCTCCCCCTTTGGTCTTCTTTGAGACAGGGGGTCTTCCTCTAGCCTCCACTGGCCTGGAACTCACTATGTAGACCAGGCTGGACTCAAATTCACAGAGATCCACCTGCCTCTGCCTCCCAAGTGCTGGGATTAAAGACATGGGCCACCACACCTGGCAGTAGCCTGTTCTTAACCTCAGGGAAGGTCCTAGAGTATATCTACCAGCTTGTCTGATAGAAAGTGAAAGGAGAAAGGTTGGTGATGTGGCCTGCAGAATTGAGTGAAAGCCTGAGGTAGTATTATTGTTTAGAGAGTGATGACAGAGGGCCATAACTTGAGGCCATAACAGTGAGCTAGGGACCCCACAGAGGAGAGATCGTTACATCTCCATGTTATTAGCAAGAACAATGAGTCTTTCTGTAAGAAACAGTATATTTTAAAATGAAATGGAGATCTTTTTTAAAGGTTAAAAACTCATTCAATTTTATGTCTTACAGGGTTTATACTGAGTTCAATATTGTATAACTGTATTAATTCGACAGTGAACCTAAAAATTTTATGGCCACTTTTGAGAGATGTATCTTTGCTCTGGAAACTGTTATTGGGTATGTTAAAGCTGCAATGAAATGCTTCTTCTGAAAAATAAAAAATATATATGTAATAAAAAGCTGGAAGGAAGGGAATAGTATTGCAGAAGAAAAAGCTTCCGTTTGCAAGCAGCCAAGTGCCTGTAAAGCAAAGGAACAAGATGACCCCAGTGCTTGTCGAAGGGGAACACCATGGCTGAGGGTTCAGACAATATAGCTGCTTAATAGAAAGAGGACATTTGGCTGGCAAATGGAGAAGCATTGGGAAATAAAGACTGTGGAAGGACTAGTAGCAGTTACAGAGCATAGGGTAGGGCCGAGGCAAGACATCACTATTTGATTTGGAGATAACTTATGACTTGGGCCACATGTTTAATGTTCCCAGTAGAAGTCTGTCCTTAATTCACATGCCCAACAAACATTTGTTCAGTGTCTCCCATTGACTCCTACTTCCGTAGTTCTCAGCTGCACCTCGATGGAGAGGTCCTCCTCCTTACTACCTGCTCCCTCACCACCTCTCAGCACACCGTGCCTGTGGTGTTCTCAGCCCAGGTCAGTGTCTGATGGTGACAACTTACCCACGTTGAAGGGAGAGGAGTTGGCCATCAGGATCTTAGCAAAGCTCACTGCTATTGGTAAAGTTGTCTCTGAGTTCTTCTGACATAGGGCCAGGATCGCCAGACTGGGCCCGTAAAAGGCTGAGGCTTCCGGGCTGGGAGCTCAGAAGATGATAGAGAACCATCATTAGACACTCACTCACTGGAGACATTGTGAAGGAAGAAAAACCAAAGCTTTGTAGTAGAAATGGCTAGAAAACCTGTCTCCAGAGAAAGACACAGTGTTGGTAAAGGCTGACCTTAGTGTTTCTCAGACTAAGAATGTCATCTGGAATTTGAAGAGAAGAATGGTGTTGTCTCTAGACAGGCAGTGCCTGGCCTGGTCTGTGTGCCGGGGGAGTGGGCTTCTCTAGTTCATGTTGGCTGAGAAGTGAATCTCTCACTGGTGTGACTGTCAGAGCAGGAGTGGGATTATGTCCTTTCTCTAATTTTCTCTGTTCCCGACCTCTACCATTTTCCTCTCTGGGTTTAAAATTCCTAGGAAGGACCCCGCACCTCACTCTCTCCCCTCCCTTCCCATGAATTCTTACTTGAAGGTGCCCAGTTCTTCATTTGATTTTGTAAAACTGACACTTTGTTCCCAGGGTCTCGGCAGGAGGAGGTGAGAGCCATAATGGTGAGGGCGAGCTGCCCAATGGTCAGGTCTGTAGAGGAGAGAACAGAGCCATGATATGTGGACATTCACAGACAAGGGGCCACCAGGGGCTTGGCAAAGCTCTCTGCTGATTTTTTAATTTTAAATTTAAAAAAATTTAAATTAATTTATGATTATGATGCTGGGTGTGTAGATGTATACCACAGCATGCATGTGGAGGTCAAAGGACAACTCTGTGGAGTCAGTGCTTGCTTCTACCTTTATGTGGATTCTGGGATTTGAACTCCAGTTGTCAGGTCAGGCCTGCTTGATAAGTGCCTTTACCTGATGAGCCATCTTGCTGGGCCACCTCTCAGGTTCTTTTCCAGAGCATTTGGATTTTTCAGTAGTATATGCCTATCACTTAAAAAAAAAATCTTTCTTTCCAAAGAAAGAACACGAAAAAAATCTGTAAGAGAACACAGAATCTAGTATCGTCTGTGACTTGATGATTGTACAATGAAAGCCATTATCTTGCATGATTAATATACAGTGAAAAAAGAATCCCTAGTGTCTGGTTAGGTAGGAAGTGAGAACAGCTATGTAAGCTCATCTATGAAAGCTTCCAGGTACAGAGTAAACTTTATCATATCTTAACCCCAAGGCAATTCCCGTGAAGTAAGTAGATCACAGATTTTGTTGCTACTGTCATTGTTATTATTGTTTTTGTTATTAAAAGGTAAGATGAAGTATGTGGCATCCAGTGACTCATTCAAGGTCACAGAGTTCATAAGCAGCAGGTCTGAACTGGAGGTCCTGACTTTCTACACTCAGTCTGGAGCTCTTTCTGCTTCCCTGCCCTGGTCATTGACTATTCTGACTTTACATGTTTCTTTCTGGGTATTCTGCAGGTGTGTAGGGAAAGGTGATTGAGGTTTAATGAGCACTGAGGTAATAGCTGTCAAAGTTGGGTCTGGGTGTGGCCAGTGTGTGAAGATTTAGGCAGCGGGGAGGGGCTCCATCGTCTCACCTGCACTGTCACTGTCCATGAGCTCATAGGTCAGGAGCTTCTGGGTCTCCGGGTTGTAGGTGCCAGCCAGATTCATGGCAATCAGGATGCTGGGGTTGGCGAAGGCTGATTTGGTCACTGAGTTCTCCATGAGCACTTGTATGCCATCGACCCAGGGCTGCTCTTCTGAGGGGACAGCTGAGGAGAGAAAGCCACTTACCAAACCCCTATCCCTCATTCCCTTTCCCCCAGAAACATAATTTTTATGTCCTTTATGCCTTTTAGTGGAAGGCTTGTAAGCTTTGGGGATCAAATGACTGAAAAGAAATGTAGACAATATCAACAGCAGTTTTCTTTTGAGGCTCATTAGTCCTTACATCTTCTCCAGCGCCCTGCGTCTTTAAGGTTGTTCATTTACTTTAAATTATCATTTACATATGTTATAAAATTTTCCATTTACTAACTCTAAGCAGCTTAGAGACATGATTTGTAGCTGTTTCTTAGAAACCACTGATGTTTTACATTCCTTTCTCTGTAGTCTTCCACGAAGAGATTTGGACCATAATCTGTCCTCATCAAATAAACCCCTCATCTGTAGTGGTACCTAGCCTGAGGAGCCACAAATTACCTATCTTGTACCAGTATCCATCATTCCTGCAATCATAATTCAATCTCTCTTTAATAAAATACGCATCAACTTGACTCTCAAAGAACTTGTGTTATGCAGTTAGGCAAGATGAACAACTTCCCGACCTCCTGACTGACCCATTTTTGAACTCTATAGTAATTACTGTTTCAGCCTCTTTTTCTATCAGCAGAACTGTCTCTGAGATCAATGCCTCTCCCAAGAGTATCTGCTTCCCTGCCCTCAGAACAAACACCATACTCACAGCAAGAGCTTTGGGTTCCTGCCATAGCCCAGAGCAGATTCAGGAGATAGATGGTAAGCCAAGTCATTTAGCTTTCTCCTGTTCTGTCCACAGCTTCCTGTCCACAAACACCAGTATTTGCTAATGAAGTGTTCATATACCTTTTTGTATTCACCCTTATCTTCATGAAACAGTCTGCTCCAGATCCAGCCACTCCTAACTGCCTAGGCTAACCCCTCCTACCTTGATATAACTAATTTTCATTGCTTATCTGAGTTTACCTACTATGTAGACCCTCCATGGTATCTGAAGGTGACACCTATGCAGAATAATCTTACAAGAACCTTAGGGCTGCTGGGTGTGGTGGTACATGCCTTTAATGTGAAGGCAGAGGCAGAGGCAGAGGCAGGCAGAGCTCTGTGAGATCAAGGCCAGTGTGGCCTACATAGTGAATTCCAGGGCAATGGGGGGCTACAGGAAGTCCTGTTTAAAACAAACAAACAAACAAACAAACACCTTAGGGCTGGGTATGCAGCAAAAACAGCACCAAAAAGTATTGTTTAACAAATTCCTGGATCATTAAAGTGGGAAATTTTCTAATATGTGAATATAAACATGGCTTTTCCTAGGTATATGACCTCCTTGATGTTTATACAATAATTTCATTGAGGTTTAGGCATTTTGGTTGGCATCAGCTCATTTCTCTTTATTCTAAGGAAGCCAGCTGCCCAGTTGGGAGCTGCTTTATGGAGAAGCCACATGGTGAAGAGGTTAAAGCAGGCTCCAGTCAGCATGCAGGGACAGGGAAATATTGCCAGTATCTATATGGGTGAACTTGAAAGCACATCCTTCCCCAGTTGAGCTTTGAGATGAAGGCAACCCCAGATGAATGTTCATTGTAGCCTCAAGACAGACCCTAAGCCAGAGGACCAGTCAAGTCTGAGATAAGGCCAGAGGATAATTCTAGTCTTTATGATGAAAGGGGCCCATGTGCCATCTGAAGGACCGGTGGGCAGAACAATGCCATTTCCCTCCCCCGCCCCCGTATATATACATCCTAAACCATGGAACCTGTGACTATGTTAAGCAGGTCATATGGCAAGACTGAATTAAAGTTACATGTGGAATTAAAGTTGCCAGTGAGCTGACTTTAAGATTGAACGATGAGTTCCCATCACCTGGGTGAGTCCAATGTAATCATAGGGGTCTTACAAGTGGGAAAGAGAAGCAGGAGAATTGGAATCAGAGGATATGGGCCCATGGCGGCAGAAGCTACAGTGATGCAATGGCTAGCTTTGAGGATGGCAGACACTGAAAGTCTTGGAAAACAAGCTATCTGGATGCTGGACACAGCCTTTTAACACTTTCATTTTAGCCCAGTGAGACCTAGTTGAAATTTCTGACTTCCAGAAATGTAAAATAATAAATCAATTTGGAACTAACACATTCTTAGCCATTTGTTACCACAATAAGCATGAAGTACAGGACCAAGAACCCAGCCTGGTGCCGACCTGGGGTTGCAGAATCTGCCTGTGACCATCCTGAGTTGATTCACACATTTTCTATGCCCAGTTCCTTAAACATGCACTTCCTTTAAGTTACCACTTGCAGCCAAAGTTGTTGTATGTCTGATTAGGAAACAGTCATTGTAGTTAGCAAATAACTCTCACAACAGAAACTCATAAGCTTTTCATTTCTTAACTAATACATTTTGATAGAGCTTGATTAACTCACCACTGGGCTTATTTATTTATTAATTTGCTGGTTTTCCCACCCCTCTCATTTTGTGTCAATGTACATGAGCTGAGTCTGGGCACCCATAAGGTTTATTTGTGATGATTATTCTTTGCTCTGGCAGCAGATGGAAGTTTCTTTTCTTGGAGTCCATCTAGGTTTTGTAATAATCCCAACCCTTTGGAGCTTCTCCTAAGACAAGTGTGGCAGAGAAAGCTCCCACTGGTCAAGGCTAGTGGGCTGCTACTTCATGCCTGACTCTGAGTTTAGGGATCTTCCTATGAGATAGCAATGGTCCAGCATTCTACTTTGGGAAACCAGTGACTGGGAGAAACTCCATTTTCTGTTAAAGATGGAGGTTGTTAGTGCTAGGGGGAGGTGTTAGAGAACACAGAAGCACAAAGAGGCTTGATGTCTGATGTGTTCAGAAGAATTAAGTGAGAACTACAAAGGAATTACTTTTTAAATTGTCTTAAAATATTTTATTTATTATTTTTATTTTATGTGTATGAGTGTATTGCCTGCACGATGTAAGTGCATCCATGTCAGGCAATACCCTCAGAGGCCAGAAGAGGGTGTCAAATCTATTGGAACTGGAGTTATGGACAGTTGTTAGATGCCATATGTGGGTCCTGGAATCAAACCTGGGTTCTCTGCAAGAACAGCCAGTGCTCTTAACCACTGAGCCACCTCTCCAGCCCCCAAGGGAATTACTTCTAGTTTAAGAGAAATTTTAAGGCACAGACATATTTCAGATAATACTTTGTCCCCACACTTGTGTAGTATACCAGTTTGTTTCTCATTGCTGTGACAAAATACTCTGACCAATACCAACTTGGAGAGGAAAGGGTTTATTTTATCTTACATCTCCTGGGTCACAGTTCATCAGGGAGCCCAGGGTAGGAACTCAGGGCAGTAACCTGAAGGCAGGAGCTGGAGCACAGGCCATGGAGGAACACTGCTTACTGGCTTGCTCCCGTGGCCCCTGCTCAGCCTGCTTTCTTATGTAACACAGGCCCACCTGCCCAGGGGTGGCACGACCCACAGTGGGCTGGGCCTTCCCATATCACACAACAATCAAGAAGATGTCCCATGGACATGACCACAGGCCAGTTCAATGGAGACAATTCCCCAATTGAGGCTCCCTCAACCCAGGTGTGTCAAGTTGACACTAAAACTGTCTGGCAACATGTAGCCTTCCCCAGTTTTTTTAATGAAAAAAATTTGAATTACCACACAAAGTATTAAATTTCATTGTGACATTTTCAAACATATTTTTCATCGAGTCTCCTCAGTCCATCTTCTCCCTCAACCCCATCCTCCTAGCTGTCCCCATGACCTCCTTTCTGCTTGTATGTCACATGCGTCCTATTGCCTTGCCCTTATTCCCCCCATAGTCTCCTTTCTTTCTGATTTCATAGTCTATACTTGCACTCACCCCAGTTATATACATACAAATAAACATTAGAAACTGGGATCCACATGTGAGAATGAATGTGTGAGTTTTGTCTTTCTGAGCCTGGATTATCTTTCTTAATATAACACTTTTCAGATCCATTCTCTTTTACTTCAGATTTCATGCTTTAATTTTCCTTTACAGCTGAATAAAATTCCATTGTGCATATATATAATACATTTTCCACACCATCAACATCCCCCACCTGAGTAGTGGGTTTGTTAAGATATGTTGATTTATTTAAAATTTATTTTATTTTATTTTATGTGTATGAGTGTTTTGCCTGCACACATGTGACTGCACCCATGTCGTACAATGTCTGCAGAGGCCAGAAGAGGTTGTTAGAGCCCCTGAAACTGGAATTACAAAATGGTTGTTACCTGCCAAGTGGGTGCTGGGAAACAAACCTGGGTCCTCTGCAAGAGCAGCCAGTGCTCTCAACCTCTGAGTCATCACTCCAGCCCGAAAATTTATTTTTGTTATTTTCAATTATATTTATGTGTGTCTGTATGTGTCTGTGTGCAAGTGTCTTCTGAGGCCAGAGGTGTGGGATCTCCCTTAATTTGGGTACATGCTCTTAACTGTTGAGCCATCTTTCCAGCTCCATAAATGATATTTAAAATTTATTTTTTTAAAGAAAGAGTCTCCCTGTAGTCCCAGCTGGCTTGGAACTCACTATGTAGATCAGAATGACCTCCGTCTCACAAAGATCCACCTGCTTCTGCCTCCTAGTGTTGGGATTAAAGTTGTGCTCAACAGGTCTGGCCTTGAAATGATTTTTTGTAATGCTGTGATTCAATGTTATTTGATTTCATGCCAGTATATTGGTTAGAACCTTTTCTCGGCACATTTGAGAAACAGGTACAAGACAGAATATGGGTGCTTTATGGTGTTGACTATTATTGAAAGTGAGGAGACAGAATGAAAGAGAGTAAGGGGGAGGGAGAGAGGGAGGAAGGGAGGGAGGAATGGGGAGAGGGAGAGGGAGAGGGAGAGAGGGGCCGTTGGTTTATCAAAGCTCAGTTTCAGTGGTCATTTATTGCGGGCTCAGTATTTTCTCATTTGGACATGTTTGTGTTTATGTTTTTTGGGGTTGAGCTTCCCTTATTAGTGAAACTGACCATATGCTCTGGTTTTCCCAGGATAGTCCCTCATTTTAATGTTTTTCTTTTAAAAGTGATTAAAAATTTTTTATTTTGGTATTTGAGACTGGGTCTCCTTGTTGCCCTAGCTGGCCTCGCTACGTAGACCAGGCTGGTCTCAGTCTCACAAAGATCCACCTTCCTCTGCCTCCCCAGTGCTGGGATTAAAGGCACCATGTCCCAGTAAAAGTAACTTTAAAACAATTTATGGGGCTAATGTGATGGTGAGGAGGCAACAGATGTCAGCCAAGGGGACTATTCTGCTTGTTAGGAGTATGCTTATGCTTGTGAGCTTTACCATACAGTGGGTAACTACTGCTAACAACAATGTATAATTCAAAATTGCTCAGAGAGCAAAGTTTAAGTCTGAAAATGATAAGAAAGGTAATGGGCATATTATATCACTTGATTCAACCACTCCATAATGTTGAATGCATGGAAGCGATATCTTTGTGTATGAAATATTAATAGTGCTCACTTTCACTCTTGCCAGTGTCTTGGTGATTACAGATTTTATAATTATGCTACACACAGTGAACAGTAATGTCAATTCTACATTTTATATGTCTGTCACCCTTAGCCACACATCTTATTTTTTTATTAGTTTTTAGTTATCATGCAAAACAATGGGTTTCATCATGACATTTTCATTATGACTTGTGTTTCATTGCACTTCCCTCCCCGTCTCTCCTCTCCTTCTCTTGATTAACCATTAATTTGCATGCAAGTTTGACAGCTCTTTGCTAGCTGTACCATTAGGACCTGGAAGGATGGATGAAACACTCTAGGCCTCTAACTTTGCTTTCAGTATGAGACAGAGGCCTAGGGGGATGGATTACGTTGCTGTTTAGTCATGAGGGCATCTGTTGCCCGTGGGTAATAAAGGCCAGGGCAGAGTTGGATGTGAGAGTGCTATCAGGAACTATGTGGGTGTAGGGTTCAATCTCTATGAGGCAGGGTCACTGGTAGAGGGGAGGAAGCTCAGATTCTCATGAAGAACTTGTATGAGAAATGTGGGAACCCTGCTAAAACATTTGACTTCTTCATGAAGGCGTCTCACTTTGGGGACTACTGAGTAGGCTACTGATTGCTTCATGGGAAGCACATTTAGCTCTTCATCCTAAAGGGTCTTCTGGTTGTATTTACATGTAGCTCAGGTACTCAGTGCAAAGTGTAATCCGACTCCTGCTGCTAAAACCTAACCCAAAGTCTTTTTCTTTAAACCACATTCTGCAGAAATGAATGTTAGAGGTGATCTTACTTTGCATGTGAATTTAATATCAGGATAATTTTATGGTGGAATTAAAGGAAATTAAATGGGAGAGAACAAGTGAAACCCAAAAAGAGACAGGTGGAAGGGGGGATGGAAGAGTGGTGAGGAGGTGGGAGAGGGGGGTGGGAGACGGAGTGGGAGAGGAGATGCTACTGTTTCTCAAACTGTGGGCTAACTTTTAATGCTTGAGCCTCAGTTTCCACATTTTCCAAGCAACCCTTTTCTCTTCACTGACTACCTATATGAAGTCAGTATAACTGGGCTCCCCCTTGCAACTGACCTCAGGGAGTTCAATATTTGTACAAATGGGTGGTGACATCATTGGTTGCTGCTATAACATTAGACCTAGAATTGTATCTTCATTTTCTGAGTTGTTGAAGTTGTCCCCAGACAGTGGAAGAAACCTGACTAGAACTCAGCCAATTAGATATACAATGTAATCCAGACAGTAGAGGAAACTTGACTAGAACTCAGCCAGTTAGATGTACAATCTAATCCAGACAGTGGCAGAAACCTGACTAGAACTCAGCCAGTTAGCTATACAATGTAATCCAGACAGTAGAGGAAACTTGACTAGAACTCAGCCAGTTAGATGTACAATGTAATCCAGACAGTGGAAGAAACCTGACTAGAACTCAGCCAGTTAGATATAGTAATCCAGACAGTAGAGGAAACTTGACTAGAACTCAGCCAGTTAGATGTACAATCTAATCTCTTTTCACTTATTCCTAAGGCAATCTTCTAATAACTTTTGGAATCTTAAAAAAATTTTGTGATAGTATGCACATGACCTGTACAAGTCCAAGTCAGGCAAAAACCCAACACAGATCGGGAAGGTGGGCAAGAGGCCCCAGCCCTAGCCTAGGAACTATTGGTAGCTGATAGCTTCTGGGAGAGGAAAAGTCAGTTTTCTTTAAGGGTAAAATGCTGGATAGGTTGACCAGGCTCCAGGGGATGGACCCATATCTAAGAGCATTCTGGAAACACAAATTAGACTTGATGTGACTTAAAAAATAATAATAGATGGCATGAAGTCTGGGAGGGGGGAGTAGGGCAGGGATGGAGATGGAGAAGGGGTCTGAATATGATCAAAATACATTGTGTGACATGCTCAAAGAATCAACAAAATCTTTAAAATGGACCAATTAGTACATGTACTTTTTGTATAGTAGTTGATCTTTTATTGAAAATTCAGAGAAGGGGAGATTATTGATTCTCCTATTGGGATTGGGATAAATGAAAAGGGAGGTAGGAGGCTGATTTCTGCACAGACTCCCACAGCAGAAGGTAGATCCCAGACAAGATTGAGCTTACTAGTATCCGCTCAAATGTACCTCCAAGTTCTCTCCATCATGGACAACATAGCTACCAACTCCTGCAAAGAAAATTAGATCAAATTATTTGGCCACGTAATGGCCAAATCATGAACAAGAATTTCTCCCATCCTTTTGGCCAGTTCCCCACAAAAGTTCACCGCTCATACTCAAATGCTCTAGATCCTTTGGGAACATTTCTTCCTTATATTGTTTCCGTAACTTGCCTTCACTCAGAAGCTCCCAGTAGGTTCTATCAAAAACGTTTGTAGTTATGCCGTAAACAGAATAGACGTGAAGGGCTCCATGAATTATATCTCACTGCGAAACTGGGGGAGACAAAGAAGTTGCAGGAGCTTAGAATTTTCAAAGGCATTCCTTAGATGCCAACATACCTAAGAGTCACTTGAAATACTACAAAATTACAGTTTTCCTGACTGTATGCTCAGATAATTTGATTGTTGGGTCTGGTTAGAGGCCAGGAATTTGCGTGTTTTATAAACACTCCAAGTGTCTCTATCCTGTGTTGTAGACAGGATGCCTACAGTTTCTGCCCACCTGACCAGCACAGTACATACTTTGGCAGTTAACAGCTTCAACTTTTCATCTCTAAGATAGTAACTGCTGAAGATTCTTGATCAGTAGAAGAAAGTGTTAGCCTCATATCCTAGAGAAGTCATAAATTTGTAGAGTTTTTTCCCTTAGTAAACAAAGATTAGGAAAAAATAATTTTGTATTTCATTCTGTGTTTACAGAAAAGTGACCATATCTATTTCATATTGTTTTTTATATTCTTATTTTTAAATTATAGGCATACACATGTATGCTTGTGTGTGGGTATGTTTATGTGAGTCAATATCTATGGATGCCAGAAGAAGTTGTTGAATCCCCTGGAGGTAGAGTGACAGGCAGTTGTGAGCCACCATCTGGATGCTGGGTACCGAACCCAAGTCCTCTGCAAGAGCAGTATTTGCTCCTGACCACTGACCACCCCTCCAGCCCTTATTTCATATTTTTTACTAGTATTTCTGTATCCTCTGTGAAGCCCGTGAAGTCAGCCTTTAGATTTGTTATGTTTGTTCTATTACATGTATACATATCATAGTTCTTGTTATCTCTGTAGCATTGTAAACCATGTTGATAATAAATGCCAACTGTATTGGAGGGGCCAAATAAATTCATACTTTTCAGAAGCAAAATCAATACCTTAATTTTAATATTTTTACCTCTCTAGGCTAAGGAACCCCCATTTAGGAATATCTGAATCTTCTGAAAGGGGAGCATGGTGAGGCTCAGGTTATCTATGGAATTCCCAACTTAAAAACTAAATTTTGTGCATTTTCCATTTTCGAGGTGCTCATTCATTGCACTCATTCATTGCACTCACCTTGCCTTTTCAAGGATTCAGTGATTCAAAATTAGTTAAGAATTTCTGCCCTAGACACAAATGTTTGACTTAGGAGGTCCTATTTATTGAAGTTTTGCTAAAGAAAAGCTAGAGCACTTCACTACCTATTAGGTGGTCATCAGCTTAACACTTATTATGTGTAGTAAATACCTTAACCTTGGGTTACTTTCAGACATACTGAAATGTCTCATCCTGTTTCCAAGTTTCCTCCATCACATCTAGGAAGAAAGAACATTTTGGGACAATTACGTCAGTGGAATATATTTCATTGCTATGCACAGAGTAATGGACTGTTATGTTCAAGGGTGAAAGAGTTGGCATAAGCTTGGGCACTTGAATGGAGATGTTGAAGTTACTTGGCAGAGACCAAAAAGCAGAGAGAAATATTCAGGATAGTATTTCTCCTGAAATATTATATTATAAAAATGCTTCCAGAATTTGTATACCTATCCACCCCATCTAAGGACCTTCTCTTTATTCAGAGATAGATTTGCTAGAAGAGCAAATGTCATCAACCAAGAGACAGACGTTATTAACTAAACAGAAACGAAAACCAGAGTGGCTTCTGATTACTGAGGTCAGACCCAACTTCCAGCTGTTTGAGCAATTCAGTTGCCCCAATTTCTTTTCTTACAGAGGGCCCCGATCTCTCTCTCTCTCTCTCTCTCTCTCTCTCTCCTCCCTCCCTTCCTTCCTCCCTTTTTTCTTGCCCCTCCTTTTTTACTTTGATGAGAATCCAGTAAGTCCTTTCTTCCTTTTAATTAGCACAGACACCATGCTAATCATTTTAGGTTATCATCCCCCCCCCTTTTAAAAGTAAGCTGAAGCTTAGAGGTTAAATGTGATGATCATAATCTACTGAATCTTTAAGTAGCTGACCCAAGAATGAACAAAGACAGAATGAACCTTTTCCCGTCTTTCTCTCTTGTTGTAGAATCATTTATTTGAATAAGCAATTTGTGCTACACTTCTCTTAGAATGTGGACATATTCCTCCTTCACAGAGGCCACTCAGCATGAATAATGGAAAGTCAGAAATGCAATGTCCATGTTCTATACAATAGAGATGCTTAGATTTTTCTCTAACCATCAGAAAGCATCCCTTTGGAGATAGACATTGTTTAATGAAGTTTACCTTGATTACTGAAGTCTATCTTAATTATCAATGTTGGAACCCAGACCGATGTCTACCACCCTCAGAACAACTCTTCAACTGGTTCTGATCCTTAATGATGTCAAGAGAACTGAATTCCCTTTGGGAATGATTACACTTTCTTTAGAGGCTTATCTGGTGTCACTCGGGATTCCAAAGGACACCTACATCTCACATGCTTTGAGTATTATGCTGAAAGGCACTTTTTAGTGCTTATACCCAAGTGATGAACACAAGGAGCATCTCTGTTAATATCCAAATAGGTCTTTCCCAGCAGGGCAGGTAGGACTTGGGCTGCAGCAGTTGGTATATTGAATACTTTTCGAGAAATTCTCTGGAGTATTGCATCTCGAGTGTTTCGCAATCCCATTCACTTTCTTTGTAATACTCTGATGTGACAAAGAGGCCCTAAGTAAGGAAAAAGCAAGTCTGAGAGACACTTGAAATAAGGTAGAAGCTGACATCTGACCCACTCAGTAAAAACACTGGCTACATCTTAGATAAAGAAGGACTCATTCCTGATACCAAGAAGCTTATAGCTAATTCGGAGAACTACTTAATAACATAAGTTATAATAACCCTAGAATAGGTTGTCTCTGTCATATTAACTACTGTATTTCAACACTAGAAAAATACCTGTCCTAGAGGAAATGTTCAATAAAGATGGTTAACAGCCAAAGTATAGTAAAGGGAATCCTGAGATGAATGCCCAGAAAGAAGACTCCAGTGACATGGCTTTTCCTAAGAGGTCAAGGGAAGGTTTCACTCTAGAAGGTGGTGCTTGAGATGGGGCTTTGACTGGATGATGGACTTTTGTCAGGTGCAAAGAGGAGAGTTCTGTATTTAAGGGAAACTGCATAGGAAAAGGTGTAAGGTAGGAGGTGTAAGGTGTAAGGGGAGGACATGGCCTGACAGTGATGTCTTTCTTGTCTAGGAGGGCTGATGTGTGGGGAGCTCTCAGTGCAACTGTGGAAAACAGTCTGGTGAGGAATGCCACACAGTACATGCTTGAATCAGAGTGACATCATTTAACTACCCACACTGTAGAAGGAAAGCTCAATTGAAGGGGCAGAATTGGGAGGCTGTAAAAGTTAGGAGGTATGGGCCTGGGAAGGAAAGAGTGGGAGCAGCTTGGGCTTGGATATGTTGCTTTGCAATTTCCCAGAGCGGGGGAAAATCAGTTCTTTTCACTTTTTCTTGCCAGTTCTTAAATTAAATTAATCAGCCCATAAGTGTTTTTGATATATTAACAAAAGGCAAAACTGATCATATTGCATATTTCCTTAAAAACTGCCTTGTAAAAGTGTCCATGCTCTATAAATAACTCTTCACCCATGCTCCTAATGAAACTTACTGGGTCATCAAAAGACGATAACAAGGCCAGATGTGGTGGCGCACGCCTTTAATCCCAGCAAAGGCAGGCGGATCTCTGTGAATTGGAGGCTAGCCTGGTCTACAAAGCAAGTTCCAGGACAGCTGGGGCTAAAGGAAGACCCTGTCTCAAAAGACAGAAAAAAAAAAAGACTAACAAAAGACTTGTGAGTAGAAGAAGGGTGAATTTCAAAGAGGATAAAAGGGAACAGGAAGGTGACAAGAAAGGCAATGTGTGGAGCTGGAGAGATGGTGCAGCAGTGAAGAGCACTGGCTTCTCTTGCAGAGGACCTGGGTTCGATTCCAGCACCCACACGGCAGCTAACACCTGTCTGTAATTCCAGTTCCAGGGCACCTGATGCCCTTTTCTGATCTCCAGGAGCATTGTATGATACAGGTGCAGTTACATATGTGCAGGCATACACTCATATATATAAAGTAAAAAAATCAAAATATTTTAAAAAAGGCAATGTGGAGTGCATATGAGCATTATGCATTATACATACATGAAAACGTCATCATGAAATCTTGCTAGATGTCAACATCATCTGTAGGGCTTTCGGCGATCCCCAGCCTTACGCTTCAGCCTTCAGTTCCTGTATTAACTGGCTTGTGTGAGGCTCAGATGTTGAGTTTGGTAAGAGCTCCCTCAGGTGATTCAAATGTGCAGTCCAAATGGGAACCACCATTTTATTTTAAGCTCAAACTTAGCAAACAACCTCCAACCCCTGCGTATGTGACATGTTTCATCTCATGAGGTTTCCCAAGCTTCCTGTGCTGGCCATGCTGAACACCCCAACCATGAAGTACATAATGTTATTTCCTGCTTTGCAGTCTTTGTCCTTGCTGCTCTTTCTCCTGTAGACCTCTCACCCTGATTGACCTGGCAAAAAACTGTTCATGCTGAGGAGTCAGTACACTTTTTTCTTTTTTAAATTTTATTATTTTTATTTTATGTGTATGAGTGTACTGCCTGCATCTGTGAAAGTGTACCCATGTTATGTAGTGCCTGCAGAGGTCAGAAGAGGGCATCAGAGTCCCTGGAATTGCTGGGATTCGAACCCAGGTCCTGTGCAAGAGCAGTCAGTGGTCTTAACTACTGAGCCATCTCGGCAGTCCCATTGGTACACTTTTTCTGTAACCTTTCCTTGTTCTGTTCTTATAACTGCTCTACTGAGTTCAGCAAAACATTTAATGAGAGCAGAATTAGAGTGCCAGACCTTAAAGAACAGATGCACAAAAGTGTGGGTGTTGACTGTGAGTTTGGGGAACAACTGTCAAGGCTCCTCCCCATTGGCACCACTTTCTGGATTTATGAAATTAAACAACTTACTGCCACTCCCTGACTCATGCTCCTATTGTAGTATTGGAGTACTAATTCTTTCCACACTGTGTCCATTACTGATTTAACATTACTCAGATACTAGCTTCTGTTACCATCACTACCATTTAGTAGTTCGACAACAACAATCGAATTGGGGAGGAAAGATGATGGCCTGGGACAGTGGTGATGGTGAAGTGTTGGCTTACGTGTAGCTAGACAAGATAGGTTTAGCAGACTTTCAAGTTTCACAAGGAAGATGTAGTTAGAAAAAGCTCCCTAGAAGCATTGGATGTGGAGAGGTGAGGATTGAAGGTAAGAGTGCATTTCAGTGAGGGGGGACCAGTATCAGCAAAATGAAAGTTAATGTAGGAAAAGACATTATGTGCAGTAAGATCTCAGGAGGCCAATAAGAAGGCCTCATGATATTGCTTTTCTCCATGACCCCCTTCTCTGCCTCCTGACTTACCTACATAGCTTCATCTGTACTATATGGACTTCCAATGAGACCATTTTCTTCTGCGTAATACATAATGTAGTCTACCAAAGTCTGTATATAATTATTAATAGTCTTTATGTTGTTTTTATTTTCTTGGGTCTGCCCATTTAGGAGACTCCTCTTCATACATGTCAGAGCCTGAACAGCCACTCCACCAGTATCTGCCAGGAAACATTGCTGAGAGGATGACCAACCACTCAGGATTCTTCCCACCTGTGAGGTTTCTTGGGATGTGGAACTTTCCGTCCTAAAAGAGATGGATTTGGAAGGACCAAGATGATTGATCATGCTACTTGATGAGGGGAGAGTTTCAAGATTTAGCAGGTGTCTTTCCTTCAACTGTTCCCTGTGTTCAGTTTCCATGGGCTTCAAGCTTCGTATTACGAACACAAGGACTCATATGGATCTGTAAATGTGTCCACTGTCCAGGCTTCTAGCTTATTCATATCCTAGTTGCTCTCATCTTCTATCTCTTTTCAGCCTTTCAGCCACATTGACAAAGAGATTGAGAAAACTGAGGATAACAAGGTAAAGGAAATGCATTTGTTCCTACTTAGTCCATCACATTGAATAGAAGATGGTACTTAGCAGACTTGTTCCCCAATAAACCTTCTTAAGGCAGAGGATGAGGCAAGGGCTGGGAAAGAGGGAAGGTAAGCGCTCTTTGCCTGGCTAGATACTTGGTTTCTCCCTGGTCCTTTAGTATGGCACCTCCCCTCTCTCACATTCTCCTTGCTATCCAGAAATGCTGAATGCTGATTTTCTTTTAGCTTTTTGGAGAAAAAGGAATTTGTTTAGATTCTGCTGGGAGGAGAGGGAGAGGGAGTTTTCTTTAAGGATATGGTGCTGGGTGAGCATTATAGCTGGGTGTTTAGGAGACACTTCCTTTTGGATGCTTAAATGGACACGGTAGAAAATATGTACTTGATTGATCAAACTATGGACTGTCATTAGAGGAACTGTATTGTTCAACTCAGCCAACATATCCAAATTGTCCCAATAAATTAGACAGAAGCAGCTATCTTCTTTTTTTGAGTGTATATGAAGCAATATTAATCCTTTCAAAAATAATATTTCTATTGATATACGACATGTATTTTGATCATACTCAGACCCCTTTCCCATTTCCTCTCAGATCCACCCCCACCTCCCTACTCCCTATTTCTTTCCTCTATTTTTATTTTTATTTTTTTAAGATCTATCGAGTCTAATTTGTGTTCCCCAATGCTCTTGAGTGTGGGCCCATCCCTTGGAGCCCGGTCGACTTACCCAGCACCATACCCTTAAAGAAAACTCCCTCTCCCTCTCCTCCCAGCAGCTATCAGTTGCCAGTAGTTCCTCAGCCAGGGCTAGGCTTCTTGCCACCTCCCTATGCTATCTTAAATGAATCCCTGCATTTTCTTTCTTGGACTTTTATACTTTCTACAGTATTTCAGGTGAATATTATCATGCTCTACTCTTATTTTGCAGATGGAAAATCCAGGTCAAGAGCTGGGTTAAGAACCAGGTCGTTCTCTTGTTCCACATACCTAGACAGAGGAGTAACTATCATCCAGTATCTGTTTCCCCTTCCCCCAGTTCTCTCCTGAGGGAATTAGGTAAAAGGATGGAGAAAAAAATTCAAGAAATGTTGGTAAAAAACTCAAAGGGCAAGAACTCCATGTTCTGGCTACTACAGAAATTGAGTTTGATGACTCACCAATTGAGAACTGCTGAAGAAAAAAATAGTTTTTATTTTCAGGAGCGAAGAATTTAATAATGTTGGTGGTTGAATATTTCCCATTAAACAGACACAGTGCCAGAACGTTCATACTGAACTGGTAATGATTAGTCAGTGGAGTGCCATTGTGCGTTTCTGGAAAAGAGAATACATACTTTATTTATAGAAGTGGTACTGGTGCAATGGATTTTTCTGTCCCCTCCTGTGTACTTTATTCCCCCTTTCCACATTTTAAGAGAGGTAAGTAAGAGAGGGGAGAAGTCACTTTTGCGAACCTGAGAAGCAGAAGGCTCTTAGGAAACCCCAAATTCAATTCAATTCTTTATTCTGTTATTGAGGAGATCCAGCACTAAAGAGATCAAAATATTATTAAGATAGATATTGTGGTGGTCACAGAGACAGGACTAGGAAAACAGGTCTTTTATTTTTCAATAGTAAGTTTGAAACTGTAAGTAGAAATACGGGTTGGAGGCATCTCAAAGGAAGATGGATTGGAAGGACTTGATAAATAATGGAATAAATATTGGGCAAAAGTTGAAATGAAAAGAATGAGCTTCACTAGCAGCCTCCATGGTCAAATTAATTTTCCCGGTGATAAAGTACTTGGCCGTCTTTAACCTTTGTATCAGTCTGGGGTGTTGTGGTGTCCTGTATTGTTCAGCTGTATTGTTTGTCTAATAGGCATGCTCCTTGAGTATATGCATTAGGTCTTGTATGTGAGCTGCTATAAAATGCAAAGGAGTGTTTGGTGCATGTCATTGGACACTTGAACACAATAAAGAAAATTCGAGATGCATACTGAAAGAGAGAAGCAGTGAAATCATCTTCAGAGATACCATGGACTGAATGGGGTGAGGAGGATGAAAGCAGAGAGAGACCTTCTCTAGTCCTAAGTCAGTGGAGAAGGCAAGGTCACCCGAAATGGCAAGGTCACTCTGCACTTTTGATTCTTACCCATATTTTCAATTTCTTCTTGGAGTTTATTTTCTAACTGGTTGATCAGGTGATGCTCATATATAAAGTTCTCACTGAAGTCCTTACATGCTCCCAAAGCCAATATAATCAAAGCAAGCTGTCCTGAGCTTAAATTTATGTCTGAAAAGGACTGAAGTGTTGTAAGGTACCTCCTCGTTATTTAATGTTTTGCCTCCCACCTTCCTTATTTTGCCTGTCACTTCTTTCTCCATTTTATATCAACATTTTATTGTTTTCATTGTTATTCCCCAAAAGGAGCTTTTTATGAATGTGCTGTATCAATGCAAGCTAGAGCCTAGTCTTTTCTGTGATATCATGGGCTAGTTTGGAAATTGTAACAATGAAGAAGGAAAAGCATAAATAATAAAAAATTTTATATATGTTATTTTTTCCTATTTGTGGTATCATCTTCCAGAGGAGTAATGAGTGATTTATGTTCGGCATTATAGAACATCAAAATTGTCAGGGTTTACATAATGCTTAGAAAGCTTAAGGAGATAAGTGTGACTTTGTTTCTCCCTTGTAGTAATTAGAAATCAGAGCTCAGTATTAATAATGACTGGCTCATGGCTGACTCTGGACTCAAACCCAGTCAAATCTCTACTACTTTCTTAGCTTTCTTTTCTGCTGAAAAACTTGCATAGCTATTCCTGTGTGGTTGAAGCCAGCTAACGTATAATATGGCATTAATGAGTTGTGGCCTCTTTTTCATTTCATTTTATTATTATTATGATTTAGTGCACACATCACAGATTTCATGATGACATTTTCATATATCATTGTCCATTTTTCATTTTCTTTTAAAAATATTTATTTTATATTTTTATGTGTATGTGTGTATTGCCTGCATGTAGGTAAGTGCACCCATGTCATGCAATGCCCGTGGAGGACAGAAGAGGCTGTTGGATCCCCTGGAACTGGAATTACGGACAGTTGTTAGCTGCCATGTGGGTGCTGGGATTTAAACCTGGGTCTTCTGCAAGAACAACCAGTGTTCTTAACCACTGAGGCATCTCTCCATCTCCCATTGTTCATTTTCATCCTCATACTTGTGGCCTCTTGAAGGAAAATGACTTTTAGAATCTCAAAGCCTGCTCTAGAGTGAGTGCAAGGGATATATGCATTTGGCATGCATATGCACACACACACATTTAATTAATTGGTGTGTGACTGTATGTGTGTAGGGGGAACACACATGTACATGACACACATGTTGAAGTGAATAGACAATTTGTGAGAGTCTCTTCTTTCCTTCCACCATGTGGGTTCTGGGAATCTAACTCTGTTCATCAGGTTTGGCAAAACGTGTCTTCACCCTGCTGAGCCATCCATCATACCAGCCCCAGGATGGAGATTTTGCATCACCTTTTCATCATCTCCAGCTTTATACAGCTAGGTTAGCTACAGCAGGGGTACTTTGGACATATCCTTTTCAGGATTCATTAGAGCAAATTTTTTTTTACATAGGCAGATTTTGTTGTTGTTGTTGTTGTTGTTGTTGTTGTCTTAAATCTTGCAGAGAATACAGGTTCTCACCTTTCCTTTCCACATCACTTCTGATTTGTCGGGTAAGTTCTTGGGTTAGGTTTTGGTTCTGGATCCCCACAAGTCTGAGGGACAGCAGGATAGTGGCAGACTGGGTTCCACTGGTATATTTTCAATCAATCATTGTGTTCCACAGAGTGTTCGAATGGAGATGATGGTTTTCATTTATTTCTGTGGCAGAGGATGAAAGAGACAATAGTGCAATATTATTATGGGATAGATAAGGCTGGTTTCCTTTCTCCCCTATATTAATCAAAGACGGAGGTTTGGTATTGGTGTAGCTGGCTGATAGCCAATCCCAGATTCAGATCTGCAGTTCAAATCTTTGTTGCTCTATACTTGCTTCTTTATCATTAGCTTTCCTGGCTGTGGTCCATGTTACCCTATAAATGAATTCACCTAGTTTATTCAATAGTGTGAATGGGTGAGGCACCACCCTCAGAGGGATTATATTAAAGTGGGAGATTGTTATGCATCATGCACACTGGGTTCAAATCTAGTGTTGTCATTGTTGGAAGAATGCAGAGGTGAGGGTGGAGTGCTCCCCCTAACCACATTACTCCTTAACTCCAGCATGGAAGTATTTCAGTGTTTGAATTGCAGCTTTATCATCATTTACAGACAGAATACCAATCTTGCCTGGAATAGTCAGTTATCATTCCCCAGTTTTCCATTTGAGGCCTGCGGAGACTGTCCTTAAAGAACTCATAACTGGAAGAGTAGCTGAAATCAGAATACAGGTCTTCTCTATCACCCACCTATCGATCTATTTATCATCTATCTATCTATCTATCTATCTATCTATCTATCTATCATCTGCCTATCATCTATCTATCTATCTATCTATCTATCTATCTATCTATCTATCGTCTATCCACCTATCTACCTATGTACAATCAATAGTATCTGTCTGTCTATCATCTATCATCATCTATCCATCTGTCATCTATCATCTATCAATCATTAGTATCTATCTATCATCTACCATCTATCTACCTATCTCTCAACCAATCCATCAATCCATAATCCATCCATCCATCCATCCATCCATCCATCCATCAATCAATCATTGATCTAATTTACTTTGTAAATAGTAGACTGAACACTATCTACTTGGTAATACAAACATTTCCATTTTTGCTAAATCTTCCTGAAAGGAGGGTCTGCTGTGATAAAGTATCTTTCTAAAATCTAGAATGAGGACTTGACTAGTTTCCAATCACATGATTAAAAACTTAACATCTGTTTCCACAACATTAATTCTACCATTAATTCTACAGGAGGTCTTTCCTTTTTGTGTCTTCCTTAATCTCTTTCTTCAAAGATTTAAAGTTTTCATTGTAGAAGTCTCTAATGTCTTTGGTTAGGATTGTTCCTAAATATATTACCTTTTTAGGCTATTGTGAATGGGAGTGTTTCCATGAATTCTCTGATTGCTTGTTATTGGTATATAGAAAGGACAGTAACTTTTGTAAATTGATTTTGTATCCTGCCACTTTGCTGAAAGTACTGGTCATTTCTAGCAGTTTTCTGGTAGAAATTTTGGGATCTCATACATAATATCATATCATCTGCAAATAGGGATAATTTGACCTATTCTTTTCCACTTAATACTCCTTTAATTTCCTTCTTTTGTCTTATTGCTCTAGCAAGAGTTTCAAGCACTATATTAAAAAGGAGTGGAGATGGGCATGGTGGCACACACCTTTAATCCCCCAGCACTTGGGAGGCAGAGGCTGGCGGATCTCTGTAAGTTCAAGGCCAGCCTGGTCTACATAGTGAGTTCCAGGCCAGCTGGAGCTATAGGGAGTGGAGAAAGTGGACTAGAGCCATGTCTGGTTCCTGATTTTAGTGGGAATGCTTCAAGTTTTCTCTGTTTAGAATGATGTTGACTGTGAGTTTGTTGTTTATAGTCTTAATTATGTTGAGGTATGTTCCCTCCAGTCTAATTCCCTCTAGGACTTTTATCATGAATGCCTGGTGGATTTTGTCAAAATTTCTATGTATAGTGAGATGATCATGTGATTTTTGTCTTTGAGTCCATTTATATGATTCATTACATTTATTGATTAATGTGTATTGAACTGTCCCTGAGTCTCTGGAATAAAGCCAACTTGATCATGGTAGGTATTTTGATATGCCTGTATGTAATTTATGAGTATCTGTTGAGAATATATGCATCTGTGTTCATTAAGGATATGAGCCTATAGCTGTGGTTGTGTCTATACATGATTTTAGTACTAGAGTAATATTGATTTCATAGAATGGGTTTGGGACTTTTCCCTTTGTTTCTTTTTTTTAATCCTTAGGTTTATTATTATATTAGTATTTGCTTACATCAATAATCTCTTTATGTGCCATCTCCCATTTCCACTGTACCCCTTTCTATCAACTTTATGTCCCAGAAAAATGCCTTTCTCCTGGTGAGAGTGACATATTGACTCACCCAGGATCACCTTGTTGAGGTTTTTAGATCTAGTAATATTTGTTTTATAAAATTGGTACACCTGCATTTCGTGCATATGTTCAGAATTGTAATATCCTCTTGGTGGATTGTCACTTTCTAAAGCAAGCATTTGATCTGGTTTTATGGATCATAAAGATCAATTAATATATTTTCACTGCCATTGGGTATTAATCACCGTGATTGTGTATGAATAAAAAATACAATGTGTTTTTAGCCTCTATTTTGTGGCAATTTCTCTTCACAGAATTCTAACATTTATTGTACCATATTCTTCAACTTAATTGCCCCCAACTCCTCCTTTCCTGGTCTTCCACACTGCCTTTGAAAATTTGTGCCAAATAATTTGGAAATATGTCTGCATAATATAGCATATTTCCAATTCAGACAGATAAAGTAGCTTGATTAAATGGAAATGAGTGATGGTGCTCTTGGAAAGCATGAAATTGTATATTGTAATTCAGAAAAAAAAAACTATCCATCTATTATCCAATACAGAAATAGAGGAAAATTGCTGGTTCAACTAATTACTACACTCTCGTTGTGGTATAATTCTATTCCAAAATCGGTGTGAAGTTCATTCTTTCCTGCTTTACTTGATAACGTTCCGCTTTTGATGACCAGCTTCAGAAGCATGTCCATGCTTGGCTTCAAATGGCATAGCTGTTCCTGCTCCCCATCATCCTAACGTGATTGTGGGTTAGTTATATCTTCCTTGGCCCTCAGTGCTAGCTGAGGAACTATTAACAATTGATAGCTTCTGGTATAAAGAGTCAGTTTTCTTTAAGGGTGTGATGGTTGACCAGACTCCAAGGGATGGACCTACACTTAACATTTGGGGAACACATATTAGACTTGATAGGTCTTGAAAAAAAAGAAAAAAGAAAAATAGAGACCATGAAGTCAACGGACGGGTAGTAGGTAGGGGTAGGTTTGGGGAAGGGGTTCTGAATATGATAAAAATATAGTGTGTGAAATTCTCAAAGAACCAGTATGGAGGCAGAAACTAGTTCATAAACTATAGGATGTTGTGCATATTATTCCCTTTTAGTAAAACTGGAGTTGTATTGTTATACTCTGAGAACTGAGGAAATGCAGTTTCCCTTTCCTACCTTTCTTCACGGTAACAAAAGTCATGAATATCTGAATGGAGTGACTGTAGGATGATTGTGGTTTGTTACATGCGCAATAGGGCAACTGTGAGGCAGCCTCTGAGATTTTGTGGAAGAACACAAGCCCAACAGAGTTTATCTTGCCATTGAACCAGACATTTTAGTTCCTGGTCAACAAGTTAAATCAGCTTTCTTGGCCACCAAAGACAAATTTAATTCTTTTGTGCAATGAATGGAACCTCAAATTTACCATCCCCAAAGGAGACATGATAGTCCAGAAAGAAAGGAAATTGAGTTTACAGAGTCTGTGGTTTAGCTGTTTGAATGAAAAGCTGTCTTTTGCAGTGTTGATCTCCTTTTGTTGGCTGTAGGTACCAGGAAGGTGAAGCCACAGATTGCACCATCTAGTCATCTTTGTACTGATCTGAAGTGCTTGTCTAGGGCAACAGACTCACAAAAGGACAATCATATACCTGAGAGCTACACTGGGTGTCAGGACCTCATGATGCCCCTCATCATCTCTTTAGACAAATTCAGATACACTGGGTCATTCAGATAGTAAGGGCCAAACTAGTCCCAAGTTTAGTCTTCTGTGTGTGGTGTGTGTGTGTGTGTGTGTGTGTGTGTGTGTGTGTGTGGTGCAGATAGGGTTCTTTCCTTAGGAGCTGTCTATCTTGCTTGAGACAGGGTCTGTCATTTGGTTTCGAGCTTCTCAAATAGGCTAGGTTGGTTTGCCAGTGAGCCCCAGGGATCCTCCTGGCTTTGCTTCTCCTGCTGGGATTATAGGCATGTGCTACTATGCTCGTTTTTTTTTAAATGTGGATTCTGGTGATCTAATTCAGAAGCACCTTTCCAACTGAGTTAACCCCAACCTTAGTATTCTTTTTTTGCTTGTTCATTTATTGTTTTTTGAGACAGAATTTCACTATATAACCGTGGCTAACCTGGAACTTGCTATGTAGACTAGGCCGGCCTTGAACTCACAGAGATCTGCTTGCCTGCCTCTGCCTCCTGAGTGCTGGGATTAAAAAAAAAGGTGTGTGTCATCACACCTTACTTTAGTATTCTTCACTTTAGAATTACTTTAGTAGCTTACTTTAGTATTCTTTTTGTTTGTGTGATTCATGTATTTAAAAATTTTATGTGTATGAGTGTTTTGCCTGAATGTATTTAAGTACATCTCTGTCATGCAGTGCCTACAGAAGCCAGAAGAGGGTGTCAGATCTCCTGCAACTGGAGTTACAGAAGACCGCTAGCCATCATGCTGGGAACCTAACCCCTGTCCCCTGGAAGATCAGCCAGTGCTCTTAACCACTGAACCATTTCTCCAAGCCTGCACTTTAGTATTCTTTAATAGAACCGCGAACTCTCAGAAGCCAACACTCAGTGGGAGAGATGATGAGGCTCCTTTAAAAAAAATGAATCTTAAACTTTCACATTTTCTACACAGGTGTGTGTGTGTGTGTGTGTGTGTGTGTGTGTGTGTGTGTGTGTATCTTATCATAAAAAGGAGAAAACTAAGAAAAAGATGAATGTTTTATAGATTTATACTCCTCTTTAATTCTCCAAATAACTTACGTTATAATTTGTCTTCTCAGATGAAAAGTTAGTGAACATTTGTTTTGAAGAGTTTGGAAACCACACAAAATAGTAACCAACTGACATTTCAGAGTGTTTTCTCAGCACTAAAACGCCATGGTATAGGAAAGCTCTCCTCAATTACCCTGTGATTTTAGGTCTGAATACTTCTAAGAAGGAAACGTGCTGGCATGTGTTTCCTGGTGCAATCTCCCACTAGAATATTTCTATTTTACGGAACCTTGCCTCATTTCTTAAAGGATTTCCTCCCAGCTGACTGTGTACTTCCAGGATTTTGAACTTGGAGTAAAAGACAGACTACACTATGATTATTAGTCATGATTTGGTCAGGACAATGGCCTTGACCAGCGAAGCAGATCAATGGCCAGGGCAACGTCTGCCAAACGCAGCCACCTGGGCTCTGCAGTGTCAGGGGCCTCAGCCATGGCCTTCTTCTGTTAGGTTCTTGATTGGCAGCTGCCTGTTCTCTGGACCATGGCTCTCATCCACATCTCATCCCTGCTGGACCAGGGCCCAGTGCCTCTTCTAAAGCAGGTCGGGTGTGGGACCTGAGGCCCAAAGGGGAGCCCATGGTGTGGAAGGAGGGACAAAGCAGTGGAACACATAGGAGCAGCAGGAAATGAGGCTTCTGCCCCACCTCTTGCCCCTGCTGACCTGGATGAAGCTCTTATCTACATCTCATGATGAAAAATTGGAGGGAGGGAGAGAGGCAACTTCAAATATCTATGCTCGATAGGGACAGTCTTTACTGAATGGGATTACTGTTATTTTTTATTTTTATTTATTTTTCAGGTAGTTTTGAGACAAGGTCTCCCTATAGCCCCAGCTGGCCTGGGACTTGCTATGTAGACCAGGCTAGCCTTGAACTCATAGAGATCTGCCTGCCTCTGCCTCCCACATGCTGTGACTAAAGGCCTGTACCACCACGTCTGGCTGTTTTTTCCCCCCTGTATACTTTCAAGAGTCTGATCTAAAATCTCTGTGTTGAATTGTGGAAAACTAGATTATATCTCAAGCTCAAAAGATAACTTTCTGTGATTTCAAAAAATTTTGGGGGCACATGAATTTTTTATCGTTACTTGGTAGAAATGCTGTCAGAGGGAGGATCTGGACATGGGAGGAGCAGTTAGGCAAGCTAACACAAAATCTATGATCCTCCTTAAAGTAATAGACACTGTGGGACTTTCGTCATTTTTTTTTTATATCCTTTCTGTGGAGTCCAGACACACAGAGCATTCTTTCTATTTCTCACTGAGTCCAAAGACATACAGACTGGAGAGTGTCTTTTCCTAGTTTCTTGGAGTGCCTTCCAATAGCCGGTAGAAAGCAATTATAGTTGAGTAATTTTATCTTAAAGTGTACTTACCACAAATTGTGCATAGCTGGTTTGGAATAAAGGAAATCAATAGGAGCCCCACTAAGGGCAGGTGATACGATGGACTCATCACTGAAACTGGAGTTTTGAGGGCCTTTCTGGTTCAACAGTGTTGGCAGCTTGGCTTGGGTGATGAAGAATGAGCTCTTCCTTCTGCTTGTCTCAGTCTCTATCAATGAAGCATGCACTGAGCAATCTCAAGAAGTGTGGTCGAATATATTTGTCCAAGCAATGCGATAAATCAGGAAGAACTGAAAGGTATGTTTAGGAAGAATAAAGAAATGTTTTTCTTTTTTCCCTGTGTAAACTGAGGACTTTGTTGTAATTTTAGACACTGTTGCATTGTTCCTCTATAGTAGTTATTTTCTATGTCAACATGACTGGTCACAAGATGCCTAGGAGAAATATTATTTCTAGATGTGCCTGGTTGAGGGTATTTCCAAATGAAATTAGGATTTAAAACAGTGGATTTAGGTAAATGAATTTTCATTTGAGATATGATATTATGGGACTGAATAGATCAGAAGTAGAACAGGAATTTGTTCTTTCTGCTTTCGTGTGAGTTTGCTTAAGCTGGGGCATCTAATCTTTGTTAGCACTTGGACTGGAATTTACACATTGGAGCTTCTGGGATCGCAGACCTGAAGACCTAGATTGAGTATCATGAGCTCTCCTGGGCCTCCAGCTTTCAGAGAGGAGATCACTGGACTTCTTGGCTTCAACATTTGAATGGATTTGTTTCTTATAACCCCCCCTCTATCCTTTCTTTCTTTGCTGTTATTGTTCATGATTCTTTCCCCCTGGAATGCCTATATAGTACAACTTCTTTACACAGTTTGCGGTTCTATTCAGTTCATAAAAGGGATTCAATAAAAATATATTCAGCATGAAGTATCAGAAAAAAGTCCAACAGTCATGGTAGTGATGAGCATAGAGACTCATAGCTGTACAAGGTACTAGGAAGAAGAGATGGATGAGTGTTCAGCCCCCAATAAGACATGACAGCATCTTCTCTAAGGGCCAGGGGACACTGTGGAAGAGGAGGCAGAAAGAATGTAAGAGCTGGTATATGGGGAGAAGGACAGCATGATGACATCTGGTCAAGACACAGCTATTACTGTAATGAACACACAGCAGCTGCAGATGATGCACTGGGGCTGCACAAGACTGGGCCCAGCAATAGTCAGGCATGGAAAGAGGAGGGGCTTAAGGGACCCTGTCTCTCACTGCTGGACTATGTGCTATCGATAGATTCAGGGAGAGGGAAAAGTCATTACTTTCAGTTGTGTACACACCAGCGATACCACCAGATTCTAATGGGTTGTTCGAATCCAGTGCTTACACAGATGGCCCTGTTTAAACTAAAAGAGTCGCAAAATAAAACCACAAGTCGTGAATCTGGGAAAGGGAGTGATAGAGTGGGCAGGATTGATAGGGATGAGAGGCGACAGATGGTGTGGGGGAGAGAGAACCAGAATCTACTGTATTCATGTATGAAATTAAGAACAAAATCAATCAACCGAAAAGTCTCTAGATATTATTACCTACTACCCCTGAGGTGGCGATTATTCTTCAGCTCTTGAAGTAGTTTAAGTTTTTTTGTGAGGCTAATTTCATGTCTACCTAACTTTATCAACATATTTTAGCTCTCATCAACATGAAACTATTGGTATTACCCTGGTTATAAACTCTTATAGGGACACCAGTCATATTGGATCAGAATCTCCCTAATAACTCTATTTTAGCTTAAGTACCATTTTCAAAGGACGTTTCTTCAAATACAGAGTCATATTCTATTGGAGACTACAACATGAAAATTTTGGGAAGGAAAACACAATTCAGACCATAACACTGATACATTTCCATTCTCTCTTGGAGATTCACTGAGTTGCCTGATCCCACGGGTGGGTCGATTCATCCTTTGTGGCACATTGTCAGACATTGCTCTTCAGTGGTTTCTTCTGTCTCCCTCTCTTTTCTTCTTCATGGGACTCTGAGACACATCATGGGCAGTTTGTAGCTCATCGGCTTCTGTTGCTCTGTTCCTTTCACATTCTTCTCTCTGTGCTTCAGAATCCTAATGAGTTCTTAATATCAATCGTTGTAAAGGGAGAATTTTTTTTTCTTTTTTGGTATTTTTTGAGACAGCGTCTCCCTGTAGCCCCAGCTGGCCTGGAACTTGCTCTGTAGACCAGGCTGGCCTTGATCTCACAGAGATCTGCCTGCTACTGCCTCCTGAGTGATGGGATTAAAGAATTAATTTTGTGTCTTCTAATTCTTTGTTGAAATTCTAAATGTACACACACAAACACACACAAACACACACACACACACACACACACACACACATGCACAATTTATCTTTCCCTCATTTTCTTCCTGCGGTGACTCCTGAGCACTGATCGCCCATGGAGCCATTGCAAAGAAAAGATTGACCATACTTTCTTCCCTGAGTCACTTAGTCTTCATTGCTTCCGTATTTTCTAATGGCTTGTGTGGTGGCAAATGCCTGTAGTCCCAGAACTTGGGAGGCAGAGGCAGGCGGATCTCTATGAGTTCAAGGCCAGCATGGTCTACATAGTGAGTTCCAGAACAGCTGGGCCACAGGGAGAACCTGCTTCAAAAAGACCAAATATATATATACATATATATATGTATATATATATGTATATATATATATATATATAAGAACCTGGGTTCAGTTCCCAGCACCCACATGGTGGTTAACAATTGTCCATAACCCCAGTTCTAGGGGATTCATTGCCTTCTTCTGACACATAAAATAAAAATATATTCTTTTGAGACTTGATTAAGAAACAAGGATAGTGGTCTGCACTAAGGTATCATAATTCTCTCTCTCTCTCTCTCTCTCTCTCTCTCTTGTTTGCATTCATGTCTGTGCCTTCAAACACACTATTTACCAATTTTTACTTCTATTTTAGATTTTCTTCCTAGTACCAACTTCTAGTTGATTAAAAACCTCTGCAGTTTAATTGGGTATCTTAAATAGCAATTTCAAAGTAATCAATTTTGACCCCCCACAAACTTGTGGCAATGTTTGCAGTCGTTTTTCTTGTCATGACTACTGAGGGGTGAGTGGGGTAGTTCTACTGGTCAGAGATACTGATACACATCCTACAATGCATAAGACAATCCCTCAACCCCCATCAGAGGAGCTTCTTTTTGCAATAAATGGTGATTAACACAGAGACCCACAACTGGACAATGTACAGGGAATAAGAGACTGGAGTCCTCAGCTCCAATGAGACACCTATATCATACCCCTTCCCTCAAAGCTCAGGGAGTATTGTTGAAGAGGGGTGGAAAGATTGTATAAGAGCCAGAGATAGTAGATGTTGCAGCAAAACACTATTTGCCAAACATGACAGGGCCCCTGCCTGCGTGGGTCCACAAAGGCTGTGACTGCATGCACAAGATCTACACAAGATCAAGCCAGGCAAAAACCCAGCATGGATGGGAGAGGGGCTCACAAATTCCCACTGTTAGCTGAGGAACTAGTGGCAAAGTATCTCTTTAAAAAAATCCCAGAATCTAGACCCTGTATTTGTTTTCTCTCGGCATTTCCTGGCTTTCATGCTAAATTTGCTTTATTGAAAACTTGCTTCTTAAGTCCATGCTTCCATCTTTGACAATTTAATAGTTATGTGACCATAGGTAAGTTCCTTAATGTCTTTGAGTCTCAGGTTTCCTAAATAAAATGCCAGTATAATAGTTCTTACCTTTCGTGGTTTTATGAAGATTAAATGAGTTACTATACAGAGGATGCTTAGAATAGTACCTGGTGCTTAGTAAATAATAAGAAATTAATACCATCTCAACAATAGCTACCAACTCAGTTTTACTTGCCTACTGTTGTGGTTATGCTTGTTACCCATCTCTTTCCCTCCCTTAGTCACTTAGCTAATCAGTCACCAGGTTCTAGTTTCTAGAACCAGTGTCTTTCTTCCTGCCCTTTACTATTACTTCTCTGGTCAAAATTACTATAGTTTGCCTCACCACTGAAGAGTTTCAAATCTGTGTCTTAGCACTTACTTTTGCTTCTTTCTGAGTCAGTCTTTATCCAGGTCTTACAGTAGCATTTTCAAACTTGAGAACATATCAAGAAAAGGAATTCTCAAGGAACACAGTTTGTAACTATGTCCTACAACTTGAAATCTATGAAAATGTATATACTGAATCATATTTCCAACAGAGACATACAACTAGAGTGTTTTCAGATTTTTAAGGATCCCCATTCCCACTCATTTCACTCTGAATAAAAGTCTAGACTTCAAATGTGAAATCTCAGTCTGTACCTTCCAACCCTTTCTACCTCCCAAGTGTTCTCTCACTGGCTTGTACATTATGCCACAAGCTTAGTTTTTAAAATTCTTCACATGCCAAGTTACTTCCTGCCACAGGGCTTTTGCATGTGTGGTTTCCTATCTTGAATCCTTGCTCTCCACTCTTCCTGCCTTGTCAAATGGCCCACTTATCTTTCTGTGTAAAGGGTGCGTCTTTGAGGAGGGATACTGTCCCTGAAACCCCTGGTTTTTGTCCCCCGTTGGCCCCTCTGTTGACACTTTCCACTTTCTTTTGCAGCGCTTATGGGAATTGCAGTTAAATATTTGCAGAATTATTTCTTAACTGTGTTTAATGTTTGTCTCTCTGACAAACCCAAAGCAGGTGTTCACTATTGTGTCCCCCATTGTACTATGCAAAAAGCTGGTGACTTAAGAGTTTGCTAAATATTTGCTGAAAGAAACCTCAGATCATTAAGCCAAATGAGAATTAATAACAAATACTGGTAGATAATCTCATTGGATAAATATTGCAAATTTTGCAGCAATAAGCTGGAAAAAGTAAATAGTTGAAGTGATTTGGACTGGGAGAAAATTTCTTTAAGCATAGAGTCTACCTAAGGTGGCCTGAGTGTTAAACATGGTGTGGCCAGCTGCCCAGTATTTCTTTTGTCTAATCAAGACAATCTACATTCCTTTTGTTTCACTTCTCTTCATGTTACTAAGTAAGAGCTATGAAATATGGTTATTTGCTTGACTTACCGAAAAT